TGAAAAAGAAACCAAGAAAGTAATCCCATTTACAATAGCTACAAATAAAATAATATACCTAGGAATAAACTTAATCAAAGAAGTGAAAGATCTCTGTAATAAAAACTATAAAACATTGATGAAAGAAATTGAAGAGGACACACACAAAAAGTGGAAAAATATTCCATGCTTGTGGATTGGAATGTCCGTACTACCCAAAGCAATCTACAGATTCAATGCAATCTCCATCAAAATACCAATAACGTTCTTTACAGAAATAGAAAAAATAATCCTAAAATTTATATGGAACCACAAAGACCCAGAATAGCCAAAGCCATCCTGAGCGAAAAGAACAAAACTGGAGGAACCACATTACCTGACTTCAAATTATATTACAGAGCTATAGTAACCAAAACAGCATGGTACTGGAATAAAAACAGACACATAGACCAATGGAGCAGAATAGAGAACCCAGAAATAAATCCACACATCTATAGTGAACTTATCTTTGACAAAGGTGCCAAGAACATGCAGTGGGGAAAGGAAAGTCTCTTCAATAAATGGTGTTGGGAAAACTGGATATCCATATGCAGAAGAATGAAACTAGACCTTTATCTCTTGCCATATACAAAATCCAAATCAAAATGGCTTAAAGACTTAATTCTAAGACCTGAAAGTATGAAACTACTGAAAGAAAACGTTGGGGAAACGCTTCAGGACATTGGTCTGGGCAATGATTTCTTGAGTAATATCCCCATGGCACAAGCAACCAAAGCAAAATTGGACAAATGGGATCACATCAAGTTAAAAAGCTTCTGAACTGCAAAGGAAATAATCAACAAAGTGAAGAGACAACCCACAGAATGGGAAAAAATATTTGCAAACTACCCATCTGACAAGGGATTAATAACTAGAATATATAAAGAGTTCCAACAACTGAATAGGAAAAATCAAATAATCCAATTAAAAAGTGGAGAAAGGATCTGAATAGACATCTCTCAAAAGAAGACATACAGGCCAACAGGCATATGAAAAAATGTTCAACATCATTAGTTATCAGAGAAATGCAAATCAAAACTACAATGAGATACCTCATCTCACCCCAGTTAAAATGGCTTTCATCAAAAAGGCAACAATGAATGCTGGCGAGAATGTGGAAAAAGGGGAACCCTCATACACTGCTGGTGGGAATGTAAATTAGTGCAACCACTATGGAGAACAACATGGAGATTCCTCAAAAAACTAATCCCACTGCTGAGTATATACCCAAAAGAAGGGAAATCAGTATATCAAAAAAATATCTGCACTCCATGTTTATTGCAGCACTATTCACAATAGCCAAGATTGGGAATTAACCTAAGGGTCCATAAACAGATGAATGGATAAAGAACTTGTGGTAGATATACACAATGGAATATTATATGGCCACAAAAAAGAATGAAATCCTGCCATTTGCAACTTGGATAGAACTGGAGAACATTATGTTAAGTGAAATAAGCCAAGCACAGAAAGACAAATCTCGCAGCTTCTCACTCATATGTGGGAGCTAAATATTAGAAACTATTGATCTCATGGAGACAGAGTGTGGAATGATGGTTACCAGAAGCTGAGAAGGGTAGCAGGGAGGGGCGATAAGGTGGGAATGGTTAATGGGTGCAAAAATATAGTTAGTTAGATAGAATGAATAATATTTGGTAGCACAACAAAGTGACTACAATCAACAATAAGTTAGGGTATATTTTAACTAAAAGAGTGGAACTGGAATGTTCGTGACATAAAGAAATGATAAATGTCTGAGGTGATGGACACCCCAATTACCCTGATTTGATTAATTCACATCGTATGCCTGCATCAAAACATCACATGTACCCTATAAAGATATACAAATATTATGTACCCATAATAATTAAAAATTTTAAAAAATTAAAAAAAATAAAGTAGGGAAGGGATCAGAAGCAAGGAGTTACATTAGGAAACTAGTTCACTAAGCAAGCACAAGTGATGGTGGCGTGAATCAGGATGACAGTGGTGGTCGTGGTAAGAAGTGGTCAGATTATGGGTGGATTACGAAGATAGAGCCTACAGGGGGATTGAATGTGGAGTGTGAGAAGGGAGATACCAAGGATGTACCCAATGGTCTTGGCCTGAGCAGACGGAGAGATGGTATTGCCATTCACTGAGGGGGGAAATAATGAAGGAGGAGCAGGTAGGTGGAAGATGATTAGGAGTTTGTTTTTCTTGACGTGCCTTTTAGACATCCAGATGGAGATACCAAGGAGGCGGTAGAACATATGAAGATCAGAGGAGAGGACTTGCGAGTATGTTAGTATTAACACATACACAAGCCATGAGACTGAACTAGGTTACCAAGGCCGTGAGTATGTAGAGTAGAGAATTTTGGGCTCTCCAACATTAGGAGTCTGGAGAGGTGAGGAGGAACAAGAAAAGGAGCCTGAGAAGGGCTGACCAGTGAGGAAAGAGGATATGAGGAGAGACAGTGACCTAGAAACCAAGTGAAAAAGGATTTGAAAGAGGAGGGAATCATCAGCTATCTCAAATGCTAGTGATGGGTCAAGTTAAAGCGAGTACCTTTTACTAAAGGAGGAAGTTACCTGGTCATATTAGGAAGCTCCTCTTCTTTAAACTGAAACATTGGAAAATAATGTTAAATGTGTAATTTCCAGCTACATTCAGTAAATGTTTTTCCACAGTAATACAGATTCTTTATTATTTGTTGAAATTGGTTCTATGGGTTCTTAAAAAGAATATGTATTCTCTTGTCATTGTTCCTCCTGAATTTGAGGAGTTATGTCATTCATCAGTTCTAGAAAAGTCTCAAACATTATAATCTCGATATTTCCTCACTCCTTTCTTTCTGTTCCCCGCTAGACTACTGTCAGGTGTATGTGGGGTCCTGTCATTCTGTCCTCTGTGTCTCTTGGCCTCCATTTTATGTTTTCCATCTCTTTTCTTTCTGGGATGCATTCTAAGTAATTTCTTCAGATCTGTTTTCAGGTTTACTAATTCTTTCCTCACATGTGTTTAATCTGCTGTTTTTAAATTTATTATTTCTATGACAATGTTTGCCATTTTTTCCTTTTTCAAATCTGCCTATTTTTTTTTTATAGACTACCTGTGCTTCCAAGCCCTTCTTGAGTTATGCTAAGCATATTTTACATCTCCATCTGTATTTTTTTCTATTACCTTCTATTCTTGGGGTCCTAATCCTCATTTTTTAATTTATGATGGATTTGTTCCTTGTTTTTTGTAATTTTTTTACTTTGAGCTCACCTTCGGTGAGACTTAGTTTTTCTGTGGAAATCCTGTGGAACCAAGGTTGTGAGTATGACCCTCCAAGACCAGTTTTACCTTTTCTTCGGCCAAGCCCCCTAAGGGCATTACCAACCAGGGACAAATTTTTGTGTTCATTCATCAGTTTGGGAATTCTTGAACTCCAAGTTTGTGTGAGATGCAGGCCCAGCATTTCCATTCTTTACCCAGCAGAGACAAAAAGCTTTCTTTTCATCTCACTGTTCTGGTAGGAGGATTCTTTTCCTAGTCCACCCTGTAATCTTCAGTCTCCTGCTACAGCAGCCCCTCACTGGCCAAACATAGGCAGAAGCCAACCAGAGTAGGAGCTTAGAAAGAGCAGGGTTGGCCTTTTATAGCACAGAGTAGACCAGGGAAATGGTGAGAATTGGATCTGGGGACAAATAGGCACAGGACCAACACAATGTTCTACCATTTAAATAGTTCCTGGCCTCTGGTAACCAAAACACGATGCTCAGGATGATATTACAGAACTGTTTTAGCCACAGCCCCAACCTCCAGTGGGAGATACTTTCATACTAACTATATAGATTAACCACAGTAGAAGTTAGATGATGTGAAAGTTTAAAATACAGACACAAGGCCGGGCGCAGTGGCTCACGCCTGTAATCCTAGCACTCTGGGAGCCCACTTGAGCCCAGCAGTTTGAGGTTGCAGTGAGCTATGATGATGCTACTGCACTCTAGCCTGGGCGACAGAAGTGAGATTCTGTCTCAAAAAAAAAAAAAAGTGAAGAGAAGCAGATGAAATCAATTTTAATAATTGATTAAATATTTGATAACCTACAAAGGTTTTTCCCACATTATCCTGATAAAGCTAATGTCATGTATGGTCCAGCTTTAGAAACAACAGAATATCTGAGGCTTTTCCTCTTACTCCATGGTATTATATATATACTATTATTCCAGATAGAGAGGCTGATACTTGTGGGTTTTAATGTAAATCATTGTTTCCCAAAGTGTGATACGCATATCCCTGTGGTACACAACTCAGTGATATGCAAAATAGTACCCAGCTGGGCACATTTTATTTGAATAATTATGTATTTGTTTTAATAACTTTAGAAGAAACACAACACATTTAACTTCAAATATGAGTACATCTAGAGAAAAATATTAAGTAAATAATAGTAGAGATGGAATGAGGATATGGCAAAAATCTTGAAAGCAGAACATGAAGTTTGAAAGACACCAGTGTAGGAGATGGGATAACCTTGGAAACTGTTCTAGTTACTCCATCAGAGTCACCTGGCCGCTCCGAGCAGCACCATTTTGCTAGGCTTCTGGCCACCAAGTCTCTTCTTTTTGTTACACAACAGCCTAGTCAAACAGGCATCCGAATTGCAACACTCAGCCTCTCCCCAGCAGAACAGAATAAATACTACCCCCCAAAAAGCTTGATAATTTTGAACACGACAGTGGCACTATGATTTCTTCTTGGTAGCACCAAACATAACCTGCCTTATTCATTTTTTTTCATGTGGGAGTAATTATTTTAAACTGTTGGCAACATCTGCAGAAAATAGAAAAGCTGTCTTCATTCTAACTCTCAGTAAGCCCCGATCTATACGAAAAATATAAAAAGTCAAAGGAAATCAGAAAGAGAAACCCGCTTTAGAAACCCAATCTGATCCTTGTGCATTCTGCCTCTGGGGCTTTGGGTGTTTGTTCCCATTGCTAGCACTTCCCGCTGTTCCCGCTGAGCTACGTCACTGTCTGCCAGAACACTCTCCTTCCCTCGAGGCCCTGCTCAGGGCCACCTTCTCCCTGCTGTCCTTCCTGATTGCCTCTGCTGCAAAAGGTCATCCATACTTTCTCTTTCCCAGTTTTTTGACACAAGCCACTTGCTTCCTTGTGTGGTAGCTTGCTAGGTACTACCTGCTGTCAACCTAAAACAGAGAGGGAGATTCGCTAAAAGAAACTGGTGTTCATCCAGGAATGGGCATTGCAACGGGAATACACGTCCCATAGTAAACTGGGAGCATATTCAGGGAGGTAAAGGAAGACAGGTTTTTGAAGGAAAAGTGAAGAGGATTACATAATTGTTTTCAGATCATTATCCCTGGCTACAAAGATCAGTAACAAGAGTGGTGCCAGTCACTTGCTGGGCACATTGTGTGTGTGTGTAAGGTTGCAGTGGCTTTTGTGCAAGGTTGTGGTTTCTGCAGAGTCTTTTGTGATGGTTCTTGTTATCGGGCATCCGTGCGTGAGAACCCTCTCTTCATGGCCTTCTCTGGCTCTGTTTGTCAGAGTTTTTAACACAAGCGACTCCACTTAGATTCTGACAGCTTTCACTGCTTTTGCTTTTTGTCTGAGGAAAGGTTTCCTGAGGTATTCACCCTGTCACTGTGTGTAGCAAGCCCTCAGCTACTTGTCGATTGATTCTGGAATTATGTCACTTCACAGTTTGGCATCTAGTTCAGCTCTGATGTGTCTGTAAATCGATCCAAAGTGAACGCATTACCTCTCACGCTGATGTGAGGCTGCTTGGGATTTTCCTCAAAGTCACTTACGGCTGGAAACCTGCCGTGTATCCAGATCTGGGAGTTCTTTGTTTTAGTGGGTCAAGACAGTGGTCCTGTGTTCTTATCAGTTAGTTCCAATTTAAAACTCAGTGGAAATCAACCGGGTGGAGGGGGAGTGGAGAGGAGGAGCAAAACCTACTTAATAGGTCAATGAACACTATTTGGGTGACAGGCACACCTATAGCTGGGACTCAAGCATTACAAAAGCAATCCATGTAACCTAAAACATTTGTACCCCCTTAATATTTTGAAATTATAAAAGAATTCCTTGGAAAACCTAAAAAAAATAAAAGAACAAGAGATTATTCTTCTTCATTAATATGCTCTACATTAAAAGAAGAATACAATAAAAAAAAAAAAAAGACAGTGGTTCTGTTGGGAATCACTGGGTCCTGGGAATTTTTCGTTTTAAATCCTTAGAACTTTCCTTTGAGAAACTGAGAGACACAGTTCTCAAACATTTTTTTATAACAGTAGCTCACAGTAAGAAATACATTTTGTATCTCCATGTACTTAATTAAAAATGTTCACAATACTTACCAAGCTGTGGACATGATAGTTTCTATTTCATTTTTTTAATGCTTGGCCTGACTAGCATTTTTAAAAGCTAAACTGATACAATGACCCACTAATGGCTCGTGACCTGCTGTTGGGAAAACATTGGTCTCAAGCATTTGAGTCATTTAATCATTTCAATAACTTCAAAAATGTCTTGAGATGGTGAGATTCTTCACAAGCTCCACACAGTTCTGATCTCTTTGAGGTCATTTCTAAAAATCCTTAATTCTGTCATTCCTGTTCTGAAAAGAAATGAGGAACACATTGAAATGTCACAGACATTGCTAATGTGCCATTTGGGGGCACCGAGTGTGGCTCATTAACGCCAACTCTCTGCATGTGCGAGCTGCTCTGCAGAAGTTAGAAACGTCCCTTTAAAGCTGTGTGGCTCTTTCAAAGCAGCATTTGTAAACCCAGCACATCTGCTGATAAATGTCTGTTTTCTACAAAGACGACTGAAATGTTTTAAACTCTACCCTGTTTTTTCCACAGGGTGTGCTGATCTCCAAACCCTGGACACAATGCAGCCAATTGAGAGGAAAAGACAGGGCTACATTCATGAGCTGATTCAGACTGAAGAGCGGTACATGGATGACCTCCAGCTTGTCATCGAGGTGAGGGGCCTGTCGCTGACTAGTTCTGGGGGTGTCTGCTGTCTCGGGGCTGCTTCCACTCAGAGGCAAAGCCAGGCATCACTTCTGATGTGGGAATTCACAAATGGTGGCAAGGGCTCTCCCACCTTCCAAATGCTGCCTCTGCCCACTGGATAATGCTTGAGGTTAAAGGTCTCTACTAGGATATGGGCTTTTCTCCCAGATTAGGTCATTCAGAGTGAAAAGAGAGGACAAGAGGGCATTGGAATGCCTGCCTCGGATGTCGTAGAAGCCCCTTCAAGTAAGCACAAGGGTATAGAGTAGGGGTGAAGGCTCTAAAGCAGACTCTGTCTACCTCAAATTGTTGCTTTACTATATTTCTACTGCTGTTTTGACACCTGATGTTTTCATAAACGTTAGGAATTTTTGAAGCAGTGAAAGTGTTCACCTAATCTTTGTATTAGTTTGGAAAACCAAATAGCATATTGTAAAATATTTCCCAAATATTTACTGTTTGTTTATGTTTGTGACTATTAATGTTACCAGTGACCTCTAAGCTGATGACAGCTGTCCCTATTAGAGTAGCATTTTAAAATGATTTGTGTTGGAGTGAATAAAAGATACATTTGTTTCCATGCTTTTAGTTCCCAGTAAATGTGTCAAGGCCCTCAGGTGAGACCAGTTAAATTAACAAACCACCTGAAGAGAACAAGTGTTCCCTACACAGGCCCAGCAGGTGCAACGCATACCTGGCCGTGACCGTGAGAACAGAATGGAGCAGAGGCTGCTCTGCATCTGTTCCCCAGCAAGTCCTGCCCTGGATTCATTGTCCACCGTAAATGCAGGCCTAAATGCCACGAATATCCAGACAGGCACAGAACACTTGTTGCTCTCGCATGTTCACTGTATTGCACTTCGTCGATAGTGTCTGTCTGCCCTCAAGTCTCTGAGCTCCTTGAGAGCAGAGGCTGCACCTCCTCATCCTGCATTCCCAGAACTTAGTCTGGCCCCTTGGCCTCTCCATAGTACTCAGTGAATTGGGTGTGTTTAAGTCCGTACTTCCCTGGCCAGGACAGATGGCCTAGAAGAAAGCCCTTTTTTATTAACCCCCTGTGCTCAGATCCGGCCCTAAGGGATCGTAAGTGGGTGTGGTGGTGTCTCTGGCGCTAGCACAGAAGGTGACTGGGTGCTTGCCTGACCTCAGGCCAGGCTCTTAACCACTCAGGGGGGCCTTGGGTTTTCCCATTCTGCCAACCTCACAAGGTGTTCTGAGGGGTGAGTCGTCGTGGCGGCATCAGGATTTTAAGGTGAAAAGCATTGTTCACAGGTGAAGCTTTCTCCTTACCATTCCCAGGAAGGTTCCCAGGGGGCTCAACTGCCTTATTCCCCTCTGCTTACCTCACCAAGCCCAGCACAAAGCAGCTGAACAGAATGACTAAACAAAGTGGCATAAATTAACCAGTGAATAAAAGAACAAAGAGACAACCAGACGCTTTCCCTGTCCTCCAGTAACAGCCTTAGAGTAGATCGACCATCTTTCCAGGGAACACTTTCATAGGAGCATCCTGACATATTCAATCTGATGTGGAACCTTAAAACTCTTTAGAGAGTGTCCAGCACTTTTATCGGAATTCTGTGAGTCCACATTAAGCCCAATAAACATTAATTGAAAACTCACCTTGTGCAAAACACTGTGCCAGAAAACAGAGATGAGAAAGTTCCCGTCCTCAGGGAGTTCAGAGTCCTGTTGGAGAGACAGTTACAGTAGAGTGAGTGAGGACTGGAGCAGAGGGGCGGACCGCCCCAGCCAGGAACGACTGACTTTCCCAGTTATGCTTCAGGCAAAGATGAGTTTGCTATGCCAGGAGGAGGAAACAGAACTGGAAGGCATGTACAAAGGGAGTGAGGAACCTACAAGTTGTCCAGTGTGGCTGAAGTACCTGAGGGCAGGACGGTGAGATCAGCGGGGACACGTCTCACAGGGCTCAAGAACCTTGAGAAGGAAGGAGCTCCCCACACAGCCAACGCGGAGCCCTTGAACCACTTTGATGGAAAGTAGTGTGTCATCTTTACTTTGGAAAGATCACGTATGAGAACAGTTGTCTCAGATAACTTTACTATTTCCTTAAGGCTTTTAAAGTCATTCCCTAGGAATCTTAGGTGTTCAGTGCAAGCTTGGGTTTAGATTCAAAGAGTTGAGTTTTAGTTCCAACTCCTCCGTAGTCTAGCTTTGTGACCTTGAGCAAATCACTTTATCAGCCTTTATTTCTTCATGGGTCAATTGGGAATAATATAATACCTGACTCAGTTTTACCTACATCATCCATGAAGTTAATTGAGAACCCTACAAACACACACACAAACATCTGCATATATGTACACATCAATGCTTTGTAAATCCTTAAGTGCTGTGGGATACAGATGTGTGGAGTGTTATTATTTCCCCTTCACTCAGCCAACTTCTGAAATCCACTTTGGATCAGCTTTAGGGGGAGCCAAGTCATTACTCTGGTTCTCTAGTTGAGCTTCTCACAAACTGCTCTGCAGAACTCTAAGATGCTCAACCTAACAACTGTCATGTTTCCTCAGTTCTGCAAGCTCTTACAGTGTGTAGGTGCTTTATGCCCACGGTCTTATTTAACCTTCGTGACATCCTTATGAGATAGGTATGAGAATGTCCTCTTATTGAGATTACTAGATTCAGTCTTTAGAATCATCCTTGATAGGAGCCCAGATAGCACAAAGTAGGGAAAGTATGTAATATTAAATTTCACAGTCATAAATATGCTTGTACAGAAATACCATCATCTTATTAGTTTCAGTGTATGAAGACATTGTTTGATTTAGACCACACAGGCTGTGTACTCACACATAAGCTAACTTGTTCTGTTTTGAATTTAGGTGTTTCAGAAACGGATGGCGGAGTCAGGCTTTCTCAATGAAGGAGAAATGGCCTTGATCTTTGTTAACTGGAAGGAGCTCATCATGTCTAACACAAAGCTGCTGAAGTGAGTCGGAGCATTACCTGTCATTGCAGCTGGCTACCCCCACAGCCCCGAGACTGTCACCCATAAGGAGCTTCAACTGTTTCTGCTCCCTCAGGCCTTCTGTTTTATTATAATTTTATGAAATGCCCTATAACTGTAAAATACAGAATTATCGAAGAAAGTAAAGAAATATAACAAAGAAAAAATTAAATCATTAAACAAACAGTATATTAATGTATGATTCCATCATGTAAGATATCCTTGACTCTAGCAGTAGGGTAGTTGGAGTCAGAAGAGAGCTGCAGCGCATGGCCCGGATATAACTGCCTCGTTTGGCAGCCTCCTAAGTCCCCATGTGAGTTCCATTTCTTGCGGCGATTCTCCATCCTTTATGCGTGTGAGGACAGACTCCCAGGAGAAGGGTCGGCAGTCCGAGCTCTTGCTGCATCTCTGCCCTCCTCAGGCCGGCAGCTCTCCTCAGAGGTGATGCCCCTCTACCTGCACACCCGGCCTCTGGGGCTCTGCCCCCCATTTTTCTCTTACAGACTGGAAATTTCCTTATTGGTTCAACCAAGAACAAGTTAGAATTTTTCTAAAGCAACTTTGCTGAGAAGCTAAGGTGAAACCACAACAATTCTAAAGGCCTAGAAACACCCAAGTGTATAGACTTCATTGTCTTTGTCTTTGCTAACATTTCACCCAGGTTGGCTTGGCCAGCAGAGCTTTTGGACCAAGCTGCCTCCTCTTCCTCTTGACTTTTCCCTCCCAGTGCCAGAGGTTCTTAGGTAACTCACTGGTTATTGTTACCATTGGTCTCCCATGGTATTCATCCTTCAATTACCAAGGAAGTTTGCTTAGAAACAGAAAGTGAGAGTGTGCTGTTTGCAGGGCCTTGCGGGTACGGAAGAAGACTGGGGGTGAGAAGATGCCTGTGCAGATGATTGGGGACATACTGGCGGCTGAGCTGTCCCACATGCAGGCATACATCCGGTTCTGCAGCTGTCAGCTGAACGGAGCAGCTCTGTTACAGCAGAAGACAGATGAAGACACAGACTTCAAAGAATTTTTAAAGGTAACTCCATTCTGGGCCTTGCAGGTTTCTTTGCTGGGATAGCAGGCAGGCCAGCCCCGCTCTGAGCCTGGAGGCAGCAGAGTGAGGGCCCAGTAGGGAATCTCAGCAGTGGAGAAGGGCATCCCCATCAGTTTCCAAAGGAAACACAGATACAGCAAGAAATTTCTGATTGCTTTGTGTTGTCTTTCATGTAGACCTGATTTTCTTGGCACCGGGACCATATTTTTCCCATCTCATAGCAAAGTGGTTTTTAAGCATACTTACTTATGCTACTTCATACTCCCAAAGAAACAACCAGAATGTTACTTTCTTAATTTTGTAAATTGCATTTATTTAATATCCATCTTATCCCAAAAAGAGTATAAAATAGCCTATTTAAATGTATAAAATGCAACAAGATAAAATTTAAAATAACTGGATGAATAAACTGGAACAAAAAGAAATGAGAGTAGGAGACAAAGATGATACCAGGATATTAGGATTTTATAGAAAGTGCATAAAGGATCCTATACATATACCAGTAGTGTGCACAGATGGCATCAGAACTTCCAGAAACCTACGAGAAGAGGAGGAAAGGATCAGTTCCATAATGCCGTGGTCATAAATTAAACACAAGAAGTAAAGCTAAAATTGTACTCAGTGAGAGAACACTGCGTATAGTATAATGAATCGGCAGCCTCCTTCTAGCGATACAGCAGTGAGCTTCACACAGCAGGTTCTTATACTAGAATGCCACATTTTTTTTTTATTTCAGCATATTATAGGGGTACAGATGTTTAGGTTACCGTATGTTGCCCTTGCCCCCCCCTCCCCAAATCTGAGTTTCAAGTGTGTCCGTCCCTTGGATGGTGCGCATTGCACTCTTTGTGTATGCATATACCCGGCCCCTCCTCCCCCCTCCCCGCTGCCCGACATCCAATAGATGTTATAGAATGCCACATTTTGAGACATCATTTTCATTGATGTTCAGTAATAGAAACAAGTATTATACACGTTAAAATGGTGAGGGAAATGAAAGTAAAATCTGTTTTCTTTTTTTGCATTTCTTTTTGTTTTTTTTTTCTGGTTTGTGAAATACTGCATATTGGAATCTATTACACAGCCACTGCAGTACCTTGAGGGAGAATGCATAATTTTAATATTTTCATTAGCAAAAAGAATGGAAAAATAACTAAAATTCTAAAGGGAAAATGGAGGGAGTAATAAAGATAAAAGCATAAATTATGATATATCCAAGAACTGGTGTATTGAAAAGAATTAATAAAATATAACTGATATTCACACTGAGCAGATATGTAAAAAGAAAAATATATATTTAACTCCAATAAATCTAATAGAAAAAAAACAAGTAATAATAAGAATGGATAGGCCGGGTGCAGTGGCTCACGCCTGTAATCCTAGCACTCTGGGAGGCCGAGGCGGGCGGATTGTTTGAGCTCAGGAGTTCGAAACCAGCCTGAGCAAGAGCGAGACCCCGTCTCTACTAAAAAATAGAAATAAATTAATCAGACAACTAAAAATATATAGAAAAAAATTAGCCGGGCATGGTGGCGCATGCCTGTAGTCCCAGCTACTCGGGAGGCTGAGGCAGAAGGATCACTTGAGCCCAGGAGTGTGAGGTTGCTGTGAGCTGGGATGACGCCACGGCACTCTAGGCCGGGCAACACAGTGAGACTCTGTCTAAAAAAAAAAAAAAAAAAAAAAAGAATGGATATAAAGATATCTCTTAAAGGATATCTAATTCAAATATACATGCTGATAAATGTTAAAACATTAATAAAATTTATAATTTTCTATGAAAATTTGAAAAATGGCTCAATAAGAATAGAAAATCTTATTCTTAAGATACTGCTAACCAAGAAGAAAATTGAGAAACTTACCCAAAGAGGAGCTGGGTTCACTTGATGGATTTAGTGGTAAATTCTTTCCAACTATAAAGGAATAGATTATTCTGTGTTATAAAAACTGTTACAGATCATAGGAAAAAAATAGAAACAAAAGGAGGGGCAATTTAAATATCCAATAAGAGGAGACGATTAGGTAAATTGTAGTAAATGTATTTTTCAGTCATTAAAAATGATCATCCTAGAGCACTGGCTCCTCGCTTCAGGCACTGTACTAGTACTAGAAGCAAATAAGATGTGGTCTTTGGCCCTCTGGTGTCAATAGTCAGATGTGGGACAGAGACACCTGAAACGTGATGCCTCTCCCTCTGCTGCCCCATGCAGAGGTGTGTGCTGAGGGCGGCCAGGCAGGGTCATGGGAAGGAGGGAGGGCGTCCCAGGGGAGAGCCTGGGCAAGGAAGCAGGACCTGAGCCTTTGAGGTGAGAAGAAAGGGCAGGCGGCAGTAGCAGCAAAAGCTGACATGTCCGTTACCTGACACACAGTAGGTATCTGATGGGTGGCAGTGATTGTCACTAATCAAGCAGGGACGATGGGCACACAGAGGTGGGGGAATCAACTGCTCAGATGCCAGGGTCTGGAGTCAGTGATGCTCCCGGGTGTTGGGGTGGGGTGGATAGGTGGGTGCAGAATGGTGCCACCAACTCAGACAGAGATGGAGGTAGAAAAGATGGCTTTTACAAGGGAAGACGAGGACCGCATTTGGGGTTATGTTGAGATTGAGATGCCTTTGGGACATCCAGGTAGGGAGGAGCGAAATGCAGAAAGTGTGGCACTCCAGAGACTGTCTGGGTTACAGAAGCTGGGACTCAGCTGCTGGGAATCTTGGGAAGCTCCTCAGTTGAAAGTAGGTAGAGGAGAAGGATATAGAGAGGACCTGGAAGGCCAGTGTGCTGGGAAGACAGCCAGGACAGGTTCTAGAAGCAAAGGAGGAAGTGAGAGCACAGGCTGCGAACAGCATGGGAGGAGGAACTGGGAAGCATCCGCGGGGCTTGGCACACGAGCTGAGATATTCCTACCGTTAACCTGGCATGCATCATTTTGGATCCCGAGTTATTAAGAGAAATTTGAAACCTATGAGGTGGTCAAAGGCAGGAGTATGGCCAGTGCTTCCTTTGTCTTAGTTGGGGCTATGATTTCCTCTCAGGCCTCTCAATTATTTTGCAGAAGCTGGCGTCTGACCCTCGGTGTAAAGGGATGCCCCTGTCCAGCTTCCTGCTGAAGCCCATGCAGAGGATCACCCGCTACCCTCTGCTCATCAGAAGCGTGAGTGCTCAGGCTGGGGAGGTCGGAAGCTGCCTAGAAGCGGGACCTGCTGAGGGTCACAGAGGCCAGATACTCAGGGAGCCTCCGAGTGTGCCAGCCCACCCCTGCACGTGGTACGACGCTACAGAAGTGCTCCCACTGCCCGAAGGGCCAGGCACCTGTGTGTGCTCGTGTGTGTATGCACAGGCACACACACGTACAGTCCAAAGGGCTGAATCCCTGAAATGGGCAACTAAGGGAGGCATCTTGTCACTTGGATAACCTATCATCCCCTTCCAGACACCCACCCAGCACCTCAGAGTCGTAAGTGTGTTCATTTAGGCGGGGCAGAGTCACCTCTGGGTCTCCAGTTGTGGAGCCCACCTTGAGCCCAGAGATAGGGCAGAGTCCACTGCATAACCTTGGGCTCCAAACCTTGGGCTTTCTTCTAAGGTCTAAATTCATCTACCAACCGAACAGCATTACCTAGATGTCCCAGGAGTCTCTAACTCAGCATGTGCTAAACACAGCTCATTATCGTCCCCTTGCTGTATCCTGCTTCAACTTGCTGACTATACATTTCTTCTAAAATTCCATCCATCTTTATTTTCAGTATAAGCAATGTGGGCCTCTTGAGCCAATAAGCCTTATAAGGAGAAGGCAGACATTATGAAGGATTATTTCACAAATAATCATTGATACATAATAATTTACAAAGAAAAACATCAGGAATAATGTGACTGTTGCTTTTATTGATTATTCCTTGACTTTGGTCTCTAAGCTGTGTGAGCTCAACATAGACCTCACGTTACAGATGCCTGTACCAGACTGGCCCCTTAATACAGGTCCACAGTCCCTTCACTGAAATATTTTGGGCCAGATGTGTCTCAGAATTCAGAATGTAATTCAAATACCATATATTATATTTACACCCCATCTAAGCCTGGGGAAGCACTTATAACCAAACACACTAATATTCCTACAGTGAAATACAAGAATAATCACTGTATGTAGAATAAGTATATACATCTCTTCCGTTCAGGTAACGTTTGCCACCAAATGAGTACTGAATAAAAACTTTAGGCTTTCAGACTTTTTGCACATTAGGACTGTAAACAAAGGACTGTGGACCCATCTACCTGGAGTGAAAGAGTCCAGACAGGCGTCGTGTGGGATGGCTGCGGTTTCTGGAGGGACCACACAAACTTGTATTTTAGCCTCTATTCATTTACATTTGTAGCACGAGTAATTCGAAATCACTTCAGAATAAACTGAATGCATTTTTCCTACGTGCTGACGGCATGATTTTATCGTATTTTTCCTGTGGCAGGGGAGTCGTTGCTTTCATCAGATTTTTCAAAAGGATCAGTGACCCCAAAAATGTTATGAACCATTGCTTTCAGCAAGTTAACACTTGTCAAGGTTGCAACCAGTTTATATTGGAGGGCTCACCCTAAAGGTACATGGCTTAAATTTGGGGGGAAGTAGGGAGGCACCCTTTAATAGACGGCCTATTGCCAGAACCCAGTCTGACAGCAGCCAGAGACCCACAAATTTCAGAGAAGTCGATCCATTTAGCACCTGTCACACCCTGTTGTGACCGAGTTACCTGTCCCTGTCTCCCCAAGAACTTGTGTCACCATGAGCTTCTTAAGGGCAGAAACCGTTGCCTTGTTCGCTGTTGCCTGTCCAGGCCCGGCACAGCGCCAGGTGCATGTGAGCAGTCAGTGAGACCTGGACAGACAGGCGGCCGGGACTGGCGGGAGGTGAGGGAAGCACAGCACGTCCCACGTGAGGCAGCCGCTCTTTTCCAGATTCTGGAGAATACCCCGGAGCATCACGTGGACCATTCCTCCCTGAAGCTGGCCCTCGAGCGGGCAGAGGAGCTTTGCTCGCAAGTTAACGAGGGAGTTCGGGAGAAGGAAAATTCAGACCGGCTGGAGTGGATTCAGGCGCACGTCCAGTGCGAAGGGCTCGCGGAGGTGAGGCCCACACTGTTAACTGGTTGCCCTGGGGGGGTTCTGGGTGGGGAACCAGCTTCAAGCCTTCCCTAGTGTGGACAGTCTGCACCCAGCTCAGCCCATGCGCGCTCACTGCCCTGCCCCTACGGAGACGCCTCTTGGATTGTCAGCTTCCTTTCTGTAAAGAGAGATTTATTTTTGGTTTTGAGTTCTTTGAATTCTGCTGGTAGAATCAGTATTGCGTGGGTATAAGTAACAGTTTTCACTGGGCCACTTTGAAGAATAATAAATGTATGGATCTTTTGTGTAAAAGTGAGTCATTGTATAATAGCCACATTCCCATCTAGAAGATTCTACTACAGTACCCTCAGCCCCAGGGTACTGCATTCTCAGGGACGCAGGGTTGGTTTGTGCTGGGACTTAAAAAGTGACATTTTCTTTCTCTTTAAGCAACTTATTTTCAATTCCCTCACCAATTGCCTGGGGCCCCGGAAGCTTTTGCACAGTGGGAAATTATACAAGACCAAGAGCAATAAGGAACTGCACGGATTCCTCTTCAATGACTTCCTGCTTCTCACCTACATGGTCAAGCAGTTTGCTGTTTCCTCCGGCTCCGAGAAACTTTTCAGCTCTAAGTCCAATGCTCAGTTCAAAATGTATAAAACGGTGAGTGTTGCGTGCCTGGCGGTGGCATCAGAGGCCTGCGGAGGTTCTGCCTTTACCTTAAGGACCTCCTTCCCGCTGAGCCCAAGCTGTGCTCACCGACTCTTCCCCTGTGTCCAGATGGCTCTCGCTTCCTTTGCCACCTCCCAAGGGAAGGCGCCCGGGGTAGCTGGGCTGTCACTGCCCGCTGGTGGCCAGCAGCCAGATGCCAGCCTTGGATTCTGGCTTCCTCCTAGCAGACATGGCGCCTGGTCCCGCCTCTGTGCACACTCGGCATCGGGTCTCCCTGTAAACCGAGCCTGAAGCACCAGCACGTGTTGGCGGCAGAGGAGGGCCTCTGCCTCCGCAGTCACCGCTCAGGGCTCCTGTTCCTGGTTCCCCAACACCTAATGCACCTCGATACTTACGTTCACAAAACGGAGGCCGTTCCATGTTTTCTGTGTAAAAGACCTTAGACACTAGACCCCTTTCTACTCAACAAAGCTCTTCAGAATAGACAGAATTCTCTCTGGACAGGCGGGTGGAGTGTTCTGGCCCCTCTCACAGGCTGTGTTTTGGCCCTAATTCTTTCAGCCCATTTTCCTGAATGAAGTCCTGGTGAAACTGCCCACAGACCCTTCCAGCGATGAGCCTGTCTTCCACATTTCCCACATTGATCGGGTCTACACCCTCCGGACAGACAACATTAACGAGAGGTCAGTCCTGACCACGTGTGACCTGCCTTGGACTCTGGGAGAAAGCCTGAGTAGCTCCCTGTGCCAAAACCTGTCTCCATCCGTGCTCAAGCCCAACTCATTCTGTATCCTCTTAACACATCCCCTCCGCTCCAGTCCCACGCTAGGCCTTGTCACCGCAGCCACCTCCTAACGCGTTTCCCTGCTTCCAGCCTCTCCGCACACCCACTCCTCATGTTCTTCCCAAGTGGCAAAGCCAACACCTCAGGCCCTACTGAAAGCCCTTCAGGGGCTCCCCTCAGGCAACAGTCTGTGCGCTTGGCAGCTCAGCCCCTCCTTCCACCCACCGCCCTCTGCCCTCCCACGAGAGGAGCGCCTTCCTCCCCTCTCCTGGCCAGCCATGCTTCCTCCAGCTGTGGCTCCAAAAGCACCTTGGTGATGGCAGTCCCAGGGGAGCTGCTCCTCCTGTGTGCCCACATTTTCTTGTATCTTAGTAGAAGCCCTGCTGCTGAACTGTCACCGAGGTAGTTAATTGCATCTTCTTTCTCCGGGTCCCCAGCACCTTGCAAGTGCCTGGTGCTTTGTAAGCTGTCAAGAACTGTCAGAAATTCTCAGCTTCATCCTCTTGTAGCAAACGAGTCTTTGGGTTGAACTAACGTTAGGTCTGCGGTCGGAAACTTGTTAAAGCCGAGGTTAGCGAAAGAGAAAAGGCTGGTGCTGAGCTCTGGGGCTCCAAGTGGAAGCTGGGAGGTGTGTGGGAAGCCACCAACGGCTGCCTCTGCTTCTCCCGCAGGACGGCCTGGGTCCAGAAGATCAAAGCAGCGTCTGAGCAGTACATCGACACTGAAAAGAAGAAACGAGAGAAGGCTTATCAAGGTACTCGCTGGTGTTCTGGAGGGTTGGAACCAGCCACCAAGGGGGCCTGGGGACACCAGCTGCTGCCCCTGCAGTGGGCTGGTGAAATGGGGATGGGCCTGAAGGACCAGACCTGCCCCAGGCCAGACGCCCTGAGCCCCCACACAGACTGGGTCTGGGGTCATCAGGGCCAACTCCAGGCCCTCCCTCTCTGTGCAGCAGAGTCTCCCTCACACTCCACTCCGCTCTCTCCACACTCACCTCCGCCCCGCCTGGTCCATTTTGCTCCATCAAACTCCACCTCTGTGATCTGTTTCCCTTTGGCGCGGGGACACCCTCTGCCCCTCCTCGCCTGCCCTCACCAGGATCCAGCCTGCTGCCCTCTCCCGGACAGCCAGCCGGCCTGGGCCTAGGTCTGTGCCCTCCTTTCTCTTCCTGCTCCTCCTCTTGCTCCTCCTCTTCCTCTCTTCCTCCTGCTTCTCCTCCCCCTGCTCCTCTGCCTCTCCACCTCACCAGCTTTCACTCTCTGTCCTGTCCCCACCAGTGACCTAATCAGCGGTTGGCTCACTTTGTCTGCTCAAGTTCCCTGTGCCCCTCGACAGGTAATTGACTGCTCCTCCTTCCCTCTGGACCCCATTGTCTCCTGGGGGCCCTCCTGCCACCAACCTGTTCTTTCTTCTTCTCCCTTCTTGGCTCTTCTTCTGCCCTGAGCACTCTCTCGCCGCCTCCCTCTGTCAGCCCCCTCCCGTGGGGACCCCACCTTGTGGCAGATTCGGGGTCAGGCTGGCTGTTCTCTCCCCAGCCCACACCTCTGAGCCAACCCTCTCCAGACACACCTGCCCCACTGCCCCCGAGCCCGCCGGGCGCCACACGCTGCCGTTTCCAATGGGCTCACCAGCCTCCTTCCTGCGGCGGCTCCTCCCCCAGGGATCTCTGTGGATGGCACCACAGGCTGCAGACATGCCCTCTGCCCCCCTCGGCCCCTCATCTCGTCAGCCGCTGCGTCCCGCACCTTCTCCTCCACCATCTTTCTCATGTGCCTGGGCCCGGCCTCGCCCAGTGCCACGCGGGCTGTAGCACAAGGCTCCTTTCCTCTCTGCCACCCCTCCTCTTCATTTCTGGAGTATTCTTTTTCCAGAGCTGCTCTTAGTGTACCTCTCCTTGTTTAAGGGTCTTCCCTCTTGCCTCCCAAATTAAGGACAAATTTCCTACCTGAACTCAGGGCCCATCCCCAGTAATACCTGTCCCCCGCCCATTTCCCCTGCCTTCCATGCCCGCCCGTGCCGCTGCTGACTGAACAGCCGTGCTGCCCTGCCGGGCGTGTCCATGCTGTCCCCCCACCTGGGTGCTCCGCCCCACAGCGCAATTCTTCCCATTCTCCAAGGCCCCAGTCGAACACTGCCCTCCACCGTGCTGTCCCCAATGCCCTAACCAGCGCGACTTCTGCCTGGAGCCCCTGCCGTCCCCGAGTCTGTGATTGCACTCTGGACTTTAGTCCCCTGTTGCTTCTGCTTGAGCCCCCAGAGCCCCCTCTTTTCTCCCTGAGTGCTCATAAGCTCCCTGAAGGCAGCCCACACGTGCAAGGCCCACACGTGACTTGGGCCCAGTGGGGCTCCATGTTTTGTGCCTTGATTGTGCCCTCTCTGTTCACGGGACAGATCATTCACCTGCTGGGTGGAGCTGCAGTGGTCTTTGTTTAGCATTCCCCGCCCCACCATGACTCTCTGCCTGGAACTGTGGCCCTGCTGTGGCCCTCTGCCCAGAACTGGGACGGCTCCCACATTCCTCCCCAGCCTCTGGGTGCACCCAGACCCGCCTGCAGCCCCTCACCCCGTGAGGCTTATGCCCTGAGCCACTCTCATCTCTGCTCCAGCCCTGCCCGGCCCCCTTCCCGCGGCTTTCCTTCTCGTCCAGGCCCCCACCTAGGTCCCCGGCTGCTGTGGGTGCAGCTCTTTATGTTTTTTTTTATTCAGGTTCCCTTATTTTGTTATATGCTCCTGAAAGGTATGTGTAAATCAGCTTTTGCTAATTGAATGTTATTTTAATGGTACTTTAAAACTTGCTATTAAAAAATCAATGATTGAATCATTTTGTGAAGTATATAATAATAATGATCTCTTAGTTGGCCAAAGACATAAATCAAAAGTTTTTCTCTATGAGTTTCGCTTCCCATCGATATCTATGTCATCACGCATCACTCGTGTGTTCAACTCTTTAGACATTTATTGATCACTTACTTTGTGCCAGGCTCTGTGCTAGCTTTGACTGGGCCTACAGAGATGAACAAGGCCCAGCCGTGCCTTCAGGGGGACGGACTGCAGGGTCTGAGGCGAAGGTGTGGGCACCAGCGAGGGGTGGGCCACTTCCCACAGAGAAGGTCATACTTGCCCTGACTTTGAAAAATCATTAGCTCACCAAGCATTGTCTTTGTTAATTTTTGAACCCTTGAATGCGAAGACTGCTTAACTAAACGTCATGTTTACCAGGATGACGTGAGTTCACTGACTTATTTCTCCCCATATAAAAGCATTCTGAGTCCCTCCTTAAAGAGAATAAGGCCTTAAGTAAAACTGCATTATAAGCTAAAATGTTTACATACAATTGGAATAATGGTGAATAGTTTAGACTCTGGTATCTGATGTTTAAATTTGGACCTTCGCATTTAACACCTCTGAGTTGAGCACATTATAATCCTTTCCAAGCCTCAGTTTTTCTCATCTGTAAAATGGGGAGCTACCTTATAAGGTAATAATGCAGTTTAAATAATAGAATTTATGAAAAGGTTTAGCACATGCCTAATACAAAGTAAGTATCCAATAAATGTTAGCTGCTATTAAATGCTAAACAAATATCCTACATTATTATTTTATTAATATTACTATTTGCTAGGCAATTGAGGGGCTAATGCAAAGGTGAATAAAACAGCCCCTGCTCTACAACAGCTCCTCTCTGGCAGAGGAGACAGACAGTAGCTAGGATTTCAGACCCAGCCAGCTGTGGGATGCTCATGAGTGATGCGTAATGGACGCACAGAGGAGGGAGGGGTCTGGGAGGGGGACAAGAGATTGGCCCTGGGTCTCAAAGGACCGGTGGGATGCTGATGGGCAGGGAGAGCAGGCAACAGCCAGGGGAGAGGCACAGAGCAGCCAGGCCAGGCTGCTGGGCCCAGTGTAGTGTTACGGTTTCTAGAAGTTCAGGTCGTGAGTGCCCACAGCTTAGCGTCATCGCGGTGCTGTCTGCACGCTCAGAAAAGAGATTAACGTGACTCGTCTCCCTCTCTTGCAGCCCGCTCTCAGAAGACTTCCGGCATCGGGCGCCTGATGGTACATGTCATCGAAGCTACAGAATTAAAAGCCTGTAAACCAAATGGTAAATGCTTCTTTTATTCATCAGACGTGGTAACTGCCCCACTCTTTGCTGATGACTCTTCTGAACACTGAATGATGAGATGCTTTTTGTTTATTTTATTTATTTATTTTAGACACAGGGTCTCACTCTGTCACCCAGGCTGGAGTACAGTGGCGTGATCATAGCTCACTGTAACCTTGAACTCCTGGGCTCAAGTGATCCTCTTGCCTCAGCCTCCTGAGTAGCCCAGCCTCAGATGCTTTAAAAAGTCTGTGTGTCTAGTGCCACCAAAATGGTGATAAGCTAATTATTACACCAATATTATCACTGTGTTTCCCCATAAGACCAACGCCTGCCTTCCTGAGTGCTTCTGCATCAAAAAGCACAGGGTGGTTTTGCTCTGCGGGGAGCAGCCCTGGCATTGGAGCTCACAGTCGCTCCCCAGGTTTCTGCTGCTGCCAGTGTTGGGGACACAGAGACCGTGTCACTAGACCACAAGTGAACGTGGCCCCCCAGGCAGTGGCTCCTGCTACCATAGTCTGTAGAACAGCATCATTTTGGATCCTGCTTCTGCTCAAGTACGGCCCTGTTAGTCGCTTCATTTTACCCACATGCGCCACGTGTGTCTGTGGTTTGTTTTGTTCAGGAAAGAGCAATCCATACTGCGAAATCAGCATGGGCTCCCAGAGCTACACCACCAGAACCATCCAGGACACGTTAAATCCCAAGTGGAATTTTAACTGCCAGTTCTTTATTAAGGATCTTTACCAAGATGTGCTATGTCTCACCATGTTTGACAGAGACCAGTTTTCACCAGATGGTAAGTGTAACTCGGCTAGGAGACCTAGAGGTTTTCCCGGTTTCTAGATCCTGGAGTCTGGATCCAGGCTGCTCAGCTGTATATATACCCAGTGACACCTCAGGGAAATGACACAGGCCGGGGTCAGCTCACTTTGGCCGCCAGTGGGTGCCCTTCCTCGGGGGCAGGGGACAAGGGGACCTTGGGTATGTTTCAGGTCTTTGACCCCAGTCACTACCCACACACATGTCAACACCGTGTTCCTGGTGCATACTGAACGTGTGGAACATTCTCAGACTGGAGAGGTTTGAATTCCAACTCGGCAGCTTCTCTCACACAAATCTGTTGTCATTCTACATGTATCCATTCGCAGTATCAAAGATCCACAAACCAAAAGAAGTTCGTCTGACTAAAATTTAGTTCTAGTTAAAGTTATAATTGAACTTAAAAGTCATATCTAGAAAAATCCCTCTTGTTTGGTATTTGAAAGTTTTATGAATCCTATTTCAGACACTCCTCCTGCTGTAGTTTTGTAACAATTTTATGAAGAAGAAAGACTTCTGGCTCTCATATGATGTTTATTCACCAGATTTCCTGGGTCGTACTGAAGTTCCAGTGGCAAAAATTCGAACGGAACAGGAAAGCAAAGGCCCTGTGACCCGCCGACTGCTGCTGCACGAGGTCCCCACCGGGGAGGTCTGGGTCCGCTTTGACCTGCAGCTCTTTGAGCAGAAGACTCTCCTGTAGGGCACCTGGGAGGAGGCACCAGGGGACCTGCCCCCAAGGCTGAGGCTGGAGAATGAGATACCGCGCCTCCCGGGCTGAGGGAGCGTCACGCGGCTTCATCCGTCACAAAGCCACGCACGCTGGCACCTCTATTTTATTGCACACTAAATCGCTAGCGGTCTATGCAAACATCATCTTCCCTATAATAAACCAAAACCTATAGCACAGTGCCTTGTATAGTGTTAACCTGTTCAGCTGTGTTTAGATGCCAGGGTTTCCATTTTCAGGGCTATAAAAAGTATTATGTGGAAATGAGGCATCAGACCACCAGACATCACCACTTGGTTGAATGTGTCCACTGTGGAGTGGTTTGGTGACACTGTAACCATTCCATGCCATGTGACCTCTGCCAGGTCACAGCCACTCAGGAGGGGGGTGGGGTGAAATGCTGCAGGCTCAGGGCTGGAGCAGCCTGACGCTGAAGTAGCGCCTACTTGTGCACTGAACAAACACAGAAACTTGATCATTTTTTTCCTGATTAGATTTTATCATTCTCTGCTAAGACAATATAGTTTGAAATATAAGCTTGATTTACTTTAAATACTGTGAACTCTAATAATGTGGAAAATATTTTTCAACTTTTAAGTTTCTGAAGTATAAATTATTTATGTAAATTCCTTGTTTTGCATATTTCATAGGACATGCATCTTTAAGCTTTATCATTGCCAACATGTACAGAAAGAGAATAAAAATGTAAGTTTATGAATGTAACTTCTTTCAAAGCTTCACTGATCTACTTTCTACATGAAAGGCTCTTAAAAGATAACTTCAGAGGTTGCTTTTAACAAAACCAAATCTCCTTTCCTGTATAGTGGGAAAAACCAAAGATGGTGTGGGACAGGGGTGGGATGGGGTAGGATGCGCTGAGAGGGGGCTGGGAGACTTGGGGGCTCATCTTGACTCTGCCACCAGCCTGCTCTGGGACTTGGTGGAATCTTCCTCATGCTGCTGGGGCTTGGTTTCTTGAATGGCTAGAAGGGACGGTCTCTGGGGAGCTGCGCCTGACCCTGTGGAGTAGAAACCTCAGGGGTAACTTAGACGTAAAGAAATGCACAAGGGTTCGGTGACATCCCACACATCCTTCAGCCCCAGAGGTCCTGTCTTTCCCCCATCCCCTGTCCTGTCAAAGCCACATCTATACCTATCTGAGCTGCTTTTGGCTTCTGAATGTTGACATATGAAATTTGTTTTGGATACTGATACAAATAAGGTCTATACACTAAGTCCCTGGATTACTGAGTAAGACCGGGAAAAGATCGGTCCTTTGAAGGGATCACTTGGGCTGCAGGAGCCCCGATTTCTAAGGGGCCAGGTCTCCAGACAGCTGGAGGACCCAGGAAGGATTCAAATGTCCCCAGTGCTCAGGCCTCCACCAGAGCTCCTATTACTGTTTAAACATAATCCCTGGGCAAAGAAGGGATACAAAACAGAATCAGTAAATTCAAATTTTAAAAACCCATCACTCATTCCAGATACTGATCCTGGGTGGGCACTGATTGGTTAACACATAAAAGAAACAAGAGCCATCACTCAACTTACGAAACCAAAACAACTGAACATATCACTTGCTTAAGGGAAAGTCTGGCTGGTCAGACACAGCCTCGCTGAGTAGAGCCAACTGCTGGCTGTCCTAGGGTTGGGGACGCCTGCTTGCTTACGGGGAAAGCCTGGGCCGACTGGGAACCTTAGCCACAGAACAATCCTCGTCCTCCCAGGACTGAGGGGACTGCAGTGCTCACTAGGATGAACTGTGGCTAGTGCCATTCCTCCACCTCTAGATGGGGCAGCTTCTTTGGTGAGATTCAGGACAGAGAAGCCAGCAGGATCGGACAGAGCCAGACAACGTCTACGAACCGTGGAGGATGCCGACGTCAGTGCACCCAGCAACTCCGTCATCCCCTTCGACCTAGGAGTGCAGACCTGCCCTTGAGAAGTCAGGTTCTCTCCCAGCTGAAATGTGAGCCTATTTCATGGAGGGCATGAGGGGGGCTGCACCCTGAGTGTCCACAGGTCCCCCAGGCAGGACTGAGAAGAGCGCCTCAAGCGTCTGGAAGTCTCTCCTTGGATTGAAGTCCCCAGCAAGTCCCTCCAGGGACTTTGGTCTCCATAACTCCACCCTCTGAAAGGAGACCCACATCTGAGGGCGAGTGAGGAGCAAGTGTGCCCTGGGGGGATGAACGTGTGTCTTCAGAGGGCCTGACCCCTGACAGAACACTGCCCTCGAGCCAGTCTCCGAGCCTCCCTGAGCACCGGCACTGGGAGATGATGGCACTGTCTTGCTGTGGAAACTTTTCAGTGAATACAAAATCCCTCACTCACACAGTTCTGGTTCACAGCAGGAGGGCAACAAACAGTAACTATTATTTGGGTTTGTCTTGCAATTTATTGCCACTTCTGAGGAGAGAAAACACATTTGCAGTATTCCAAGTGTTGCACAGACACTGTAAACTCAAGTCAGCCAAGTGTGACTACAAATGGTGGCCTCGCTCAGCCGCCCTCTGCAGGGAGGCCAGGTGCCTCCCCAGAACCTCTGCTGTCATCGCTCTTCTTTCCACAGGCTGGGGGCCCTGTCCCTGTCGGCTGTCCCCAGCTGCCCAGGAGCGGGGTCTCTGCTTCCTAGTTCCTAAAACCTATTGACAGAAGAGAAGGGCTGTTGGGATGAGGGGCTGACAGGAGCAGGGAGGACCCTGCTGGCCCCACCCCACCCTCGGCCTCCTGCCGGGCAGAGACAGGCGAGTTCCCGACCTCTCTCACTCTGTTTTCTGCAACTGGCAGAGGCTTTGCGTATCTTTGAACTCCACACAGGGCTAACCTGGGTATGGTAAGGCAGAGACAATGGGCTGTCCACAAAATGCTCCCCTGCCATCGTGTTCAGACCAGTCAGAGAATACTTTCCCCAGCACCCCTGTGCCCTGCAGTCAGGGCAGACGTGTGACTGGGTCCTAGCCATGGACTGTCAGAGGAAGTGACATATGCTACCTTCAGGCCTGGCCCACATGCAGCCCCCAGTGCAAAGCTCGTCTGTGGTCTCTTCCCTTTCCAGGGTGAGCTCCGTGGAGCGACCTTAGGAGCCACGCCTTGGCAGGGCACGATCTATCCCCTGAAAGTGGCGCCCAGATCCCACATTCACCACTTTGCTGAGTTTCTCATGCAAAGTTTCCCTGCCCAGCGCTCATCACAGCAGCAGCACTGAGCCAAGGCGATCCGAGGTTTCTCCTGCCCCCTCTTGCTAACTCCCTTCTCAGGCCACCGTCTGCTCTGCCCTCTGAGCCCATCTGGGAGGGTGCAGGGGGAGCGCTGTGGCCAGTGGCTCAGAGTCGAGAACCAGTGGGCCTCTGGGCCTTGCAAAGCTGTGCCCCCCAGCCCTGCCCCCGGGCCTCTGCTCACCACACCTTCTTTCCGTCCCCTTTGTCCGGGCTGAGCTTCGAGGAGTGGAACTGCCTTTCAAAAGCAGCCTGACTTAGGTCAGTAGTCTTTTTCTCTTTCTCTTTTCTCTTTTGGTTCTTTTCTGCACAGATGAGCTTTTCAGGACTGCAAAGAAAAATTCAAAATATTATTCTGACTTGGCACAAATGGAACTGTACCGTTCGATAATTTTGGAAAATTAACGATCTTAATACTCACTGTTTGAAAAGGAAAGACTGACTACACATCACTAGTGGCTGTCCCTCAATCCGTCTGCCCCACCCACACCCCTGCTGGCACAACCCTTAGGGAGGCGGTGACTCCTGGGACCCCTCTCCAGGCTAGGCACCTGGTCCAGAACCTCCATCCCTATAGTTGTAATTGTGACAAAGGGGCTTCCAGGCAGCCTGAGTGCTCAAAGCAGAAAGGCAGGATGGGCCTCCAGTTTCCAACATAGGCACAAGAAAGCAGTGAAAGCCGGTGTGCAGGGGAAGAAATTAAGCAGGTTCAGAAAGAGAAGCAATGGTGAGAGCCACATGGTCCCCCCAAGGCAGGGACTGGCCTCTTGGTCCCTCAAGCAGCCTGGTTTTCCTCCTGGCCACGGCTTCCATGACATACTGGTGCTGTCTAACATTGCTAGCCCCTCTCCCCATTTGTTTTCACTTGAGAAGGACCCTGTTTTTGGTGATCAAACCATCTCTGACTAATGTAGCCAAAGTCCTTTTCTTACTTCATCAAACAGCCACGTGAGGCCCCCTCTCAGAGGGTTCTGCCCTGGGAAGCCCAGCACTATCTAGGGAAATAAGCCTTCTCTTGTCTTCCTTCATTTATCCATTCAACAAACCATTATTCATCATCTACTATGTTCCAGCTGAGTCCTGGAACACCATGATAACCTCAAGGAGCTTGCTGGAGGAAAGGTGGTGGTGATGGGGAGTTCTAGTTCCCTCTGATAATTGCCCCTCTTGCCTGCATTGGCAACCTGGCAGCTCAGGGAGTTATAGACATGCTGACTTGTGGTTAATAAGTATTTCTTTTTTTGTTAGTTAGTTTTATTTCAGCATATTACAGGAAATAAATATTTCTTTTCTTTAGGGAGACGGGATTTTCAAGATGAAGCCAGAAAGAGTGGTAGGGACCAGGTAGTGCCTTATGTGCTATGTTACAGCCCCTGAACTTCATCGTAAACGTTGCGTGGAGGAGACCAGATTGAAGGAGGAAGGCCAGTGAGGTGCGGCGACAACAAAGGCAGACGAGGCTGGGCATGGTGGCTCACGCCTGTAATGCCAGCATTCTGGGAGGCCAAGGTGGACGGATTGCTTGAGCTCAGGAGTGTGAGACCAACCTGAGCAAGAGCGAGACCCTGTCTCTACTAAAAAAAAAAATAGAAAGAAATTAGCTGGGCAACTAAAAAAAAATATATATATATAAAATTAGCTGGGCATGGTGGCGCATGCCTGTAGTCCCAGCTACTCGGGAGGCTGAGGCAGGAGGATCGCTTGAGCCCAGGAGTTTGAGGTTGCTGTGAGCTAGGCTGACGCCACGGCACTCACTCTAGCCTGGGCAACACAGTGAGACTCTGTCTCAAAAAAAAAAAAAAAAAAAATGTATAGCAAAGCTGCCAAATAAAAAAATCAATATACAAAAGCATTTTATTTCTATATATTAACTTCAAATAGCTAGAAAATAAAATTTTGTATAATAGTAACAAAATATGAATAAGTAGGAATAAATCTAACCAAAAATCTACAAGGCCATTAGACATGATTTCTCATCCATAGTATTTATTGACATTTGGAGCTGGATAATTCTTTGTTGTAAGGTATTTAACAGCATCCCTGCCCTCTGACCACTAGATGCCTGTAAAGCCCCACTCCTCTGATAATCAGAAATGTCTCCAATGGTGCCAGGGCAGCATGAGTCCTGATTAAGAACCACTCCTTGCTGGGGACGGTGGCTCACACCTATAATCTCAGCAACTTGGGAGGCTGAGGCAGGAGGATTACTTGAGCCCAGGAGTTCAAGGCTGCAGTGAGCTATGATGTGCCACTGTACTCCAGCCTGGGCAATGAGCAAGACCCTATCTCTTAAAAAACAAAACAGGAACAAAAAAAAAAAAATAAACAAAAAAAACACAAAAAGAACCACTCCTTTACATGAAATAAAATAAGACCCAAATTAATGGAGAGATATATACCATATGCATGGATCAGAGGACTCAAAATTGTAAAGATGTCAATTCTCCCCAAAGTGACATACAGATTAAATGCAGTTCAAATCAAAACCCCAAGTATTTGTTTGTTTGGGGATTTATGTATGTGTCTATGTGAAACTTGAGCCAATTATAAAATTTATAGGAGGAATTATTCTATCAGGTATCAAAACTCATTAAAAAGCTATAGCAAACTAATAGGCCAGAATAGAGAACCTAGAAATTAAGTACATATAAGAGTACTTAATTTGTATCAAAAGCTGCAGTGTAGAGCAGGAGAGAAATGATGATATTTTCCATAAATAGTACTGAGGAAAAAATAAAATTGGGCCCCATAAACAATTTACATAAAAAGCAATTCCAATTGGATTATAAACCTAAATTTGAAAAGCAAAACTATAAAGCTATAAACCTTCTGGAATAGACATTTTAATATATAATAAAATGTATAAAATGCACTATAATGTATAAAAAGCACTAATTATAAAGGAAAAGAAGGATACATTGGACCATGTTAAAATTAAGAATATCTATTCATCAAAAATATCATTAAGAACAGTAAAAATGCAATCTCCAAAATAGGAAAAGATACAGCACATATAAGTGAAAAGAGGTTTATAGTTGAAATATATAAAGAATACCTACAAATCAATAAGAAAGACAAACAACCCAACTGAAAAAAATGACAAAAGTGTTGAATAGGTACTTCTCAAATGAGGAAACCCAACATCCAATAAAGATATTATAGTAACTCAGTCTCATTGGTAAGCAGGAAAAGGCTATTGTGCAGCCATCAGTTCTACTCAGATGACAATGTCCCACCATAGCAAAGGTCAAGGAGAACGTAAAACAACAGTATTTCTCACCCATGCTGACAGGAGTGTAAACTGAAACAGCCTCTTTGGAAAACAGCTTACCATCATCCTATGACCCAGCCAACTCCACTCTTAGGTATATACCCTACGAAACGTGGCTTGTGGGAACCAAAATACCTGCAACGGATTGTTCATAATAGCCAAAACATGGAAACAACCCAAATGTCCACCCACGGTGGATTGGTTAAATAAACGATGTCATAGCCACACAACAGATACTACAGAAAACAGAAAGCACTACGCCGGAGCTATACGCAATAGCATGAACGCAACTGAAAAGCGTGATGGGGAGCAAAGGCAGTCAGCCACGCGCTGAATTGTACCCTTACGCACTTAGAACAGATGAATTGTATGGCATGCAAACTATATCTTAATAAAGATTTTTTTAAATGTCAGTCACAAAAGAATGCTTTAAGTTTCCATTTACATGAAATTAAAAAATAGGCAAGACAAACTATTAATATATTAGTTGATAACACTACAAGGAAAACAAGGAAGTGAACGCTTAAAGAATGAAGATGGCTCTGGGGCAGGGAGGAGACTGTCGCCAGGAGAGAGCCCTTTCTTGACCTGGTGGCGATTTCACAGGCCTGGCTAGGGGATTTGTTATCTGTTTATGTATTATACCATCTTCTACATATGTTTCCCAAAACAAAGGTGATGCTAGTAATAATAATAAAACTATAAACCACTAAAAAAAAATGTGACTAGTTATAAGATCTTCATTAGGAAATAAACTAAACTGCATTTAAACAAATGTTTGCTTGCTGGTTTATTTTGCTCATCTGTACCTGCATTTACCGGGAGCTTTACTTCTGGGTCTCGTGGAGGCTGTACGCCACTCTCTTGGAATCTTGCTGTGTAGAGTGAAAGTGAACTGGGGCAATCGGGCACACAGACTGGCCTTCTCTATTTCTTTAAGTTCTTTTATGGAATATTGTTTTCCTACAGGAAGATAAAAAAATCTAAATCAACACTCCTAAAGACAATTCCAGTTGCTCTTGGAGTAGGAAATCACTTGACGATTAGCAGTCTCGAAAAATGAAGCCCAGTGATCACAAAGCACCTGTCTCATACTGAAGACTAGCTCTCTTCTCTTCATCTACCTCTTGCTGTCTTCGAAACAGAGGATCAAAAAGTGGTGACACTGTAACCTACAAGAAAAATGAGACTCTTTGAGGCTCCAAGTATAGTTTGTATTAAACTTTAAAAATCCGTCCTAAGCATTCAAGTATGGTCTTGCTGTATACCAAAGCAGCTGAGAATAAAGACCCATGAATAATGTCACTCCACAGAGCAACAGAAGGGTAAATATCACCCGCCTCAGAGGAGGATATCTCACAGAGCCTGAATGGCTGAACGGGTGGCGGAAGACACATACTTCCGCTCAGGGTTCTACTGTATCATTGCATCAGTCAGTAAGTATTTGTGATGCCACCGTGCGCCACAGCCAGATTAGCACCTGTCCTGGAGGATCTCTCGGTCTAGAACAGCCGAGTCATATACAATGGCAATCTAGTCATGAGAGCAGTCTGCTCGGGACACTTCAGGAGCATGAGGCAGTGCTCCTGACCCAGCCTTGGGGGAAGAGCACCTCCTGGGGAAGCTGACTGGTCTTTAAGGACTTGTGAGAACAGAAGGGCAGGTGACCAGAAGTAGGAGTTTGTGTCACAGGGACGTACAGAGATTATGAAGAAAGTTTTTTCTTCCTATCCCTCCTGATTATAAGACTTAGGCCAGGTGCAGTGGCTCACGCCTGTAATCCTGCCACTCTGGGAGGCCGAGGAGGGAGAATCGCTTGAGCCCAGGAGTTGGAGATTGCTGTGAGCTAGGCTGACGCCACAGCAACAGACTGAAACTCTGTCTCAAAAAAAAAAAAAAAAAAAACAAAAAACTGAAGACTCATTATAAGCTCAACTATTAGCTCTTCTGAGCAGCTTTTCCTGACCATCCATCCTATACCTCTAGTGGAAAGGTGCTCTCTCCTGAGTCCCATGATCCCTGCCCTGACTCAGATGACACAAGTGACACATTCCACCACACTCATTGTCCCTCTTGTGCTTCAAGTGTGCTGAATGGGAGTGAATGAATGAATGAACAAATTACCACACACATGCATGCCTTCCTTGTTCACTATGTAAATTTCCTTCAGAGTCCAATAGGAACTTTGGGTTCCTATTCTAGAACTCAGGAGAAATGCTTTTGTGGAGTTTTTTTAATGAACAGAGAATAACTACAAGACTTCTAAGATGACTACGTTTTCCCCAACTCCAGAGCTCCAACGAATAAATAAATATAAGTAATAAACCTACTCTACCTTTCCATAGCTTGGGTTCTTTTTCTTCATATAAAAAGGATCATATACTTCAGGATCATAATGTTCTCCAGATACAATTTCCTTTAGGAAAAAAAAAATACACTTTAGAGCAAATCACTACATACAAACTGCTTTGTAAGATTCATAAAATCCAAATATTTCATTCCATTTTTATATAAAAGCATAGCTGCAAAGGGTTAGAAGAAGCCTCAGAAGTAATTTAGACTCAGTGAGACTCCACCACCTTCTGGGAGAAGTAATCATTTAACTTTAGTCCCAAGTCATCCATAAGCCTTAGTTTGAGAACTTTCTGCTCCATGAAACAGACACTTTTTTGGTCATTTTAACCACTAGAAAATCTGTCCTTAGATTGCGTTTAAACCTGCCTTGTAACTTCCAGGTGCAGATACTAGTCTAACTATGTTAGCCATAAGTCTGCCTTTTAAACATTTAGAGATTGCATTCCTCCTCACATCTTCTCTTCCTGGGCTAAATACCCTATTTCTTTCCGCTTTTCCTCCCATGAACTGCTGTCAAGATTCCACCCTCTTCTAAAGGTTCTGCAACTGGCAAGTGTCCCCTCAACAGTGTGACATCAGGAGTGACGGGATAAGGACTGGGTAGACCAGGACTTTGATGCTGCCCCCTCTAAGCACAGCCTCTCTTAATACAGCCTGACAGCTCAGACATTTTCTTGGAAGCCAGCTCACATGGCTGACCCACACTGAATTTACTGTCATTTAAAATCACTTGGATTTCAACACATGCCATTTCTAACGCGTGGCCTCCCCATCCTACACTTGTGTCATCACATTTCTGGACACAACTTGTAAGAATTTGCACTTTGGTTTCAAAGAGACCTGGATTCAATCTTGAGCTCTGCCTCCTAGGGTGTTTAGGAAGAAGTATTTAAGGTACATATTCAGGCTTAAAATGCTCTAATCCAGCTAAACTACTCTAAATCACTAGTAAATATTAATACCTGGGGTGGGGTGCTGGCGGGATCCTGTAGTACACACCTAAAGCCAACACATTTAAATTTGGTACTGCAAATAGGTGGCCTAAATTCCAAAAGAGAGTCCTGACCTCAAAATTAAAACAAAAAGAATCTTCAAAATAAGAAACTAAATTTTATTGTTTTGTAAAAGCAAACAGAAGAACAGACTATAGAAACTGTTAGTCCCTCTACCTAATGGTCGGCTAACTCAGGAGCTATCAATCCCATTTTCCCTTGCCCCCTTCTACTATGGAGATTAGAAAGCTGCACAACCTCTTTCCTGACCCTGCTGACAGCTAGGACTTGCTGTGTGAGCCAGTCTTGGCCAATGGGACCTGAGGGAGAGTTGGCTAGGGACTTCTGGGGACTCTTTTTGCTTCCTGATCAAAGGAGCAGGGTACGAGAAGAGTCCCCTGGCACCATTCCTGGCCCCTTCGTCCTAATTTGAACGCAGACCTACTACCTGGAGCTGTAAGCAACCATCAGGCAACTGTGAGAATGATGGGGATAAACTGAAAATACGAAGGATAGCAGACTAGAACAATAGAAAAAAACTTGACACTGTTATGCTGCCAGACCCCACCATAAGACCACCCAGCCCTCAATTTCTTGTTAGGTAAATAATAAATAAATGCTTTATGATTTAAGGCACTATTATTCTATTAACATTTACCTAAGAGCATTCCTGATAAATCCAGTTCCAGATCAATACTCCTATCCCTCCCACTTGAAACTCCAGGCTTAAGAATGTAGTATTACAGTTCAATTAATTCATCTTAAATACAAAAATAAGCTTGGGACTATTTGCATAACCAGTAAAATATTCAGATTATACTTTATTTAAACAAAAACAAATTCTCCATACCATTTTATTTGTGTGCTTTAAATAATATTCAAAATTCTCCTGTTTCATTTTTTCAAGCCCTCTATATGAAATTACTTTTTCCATAATTCTCTGTTGAAGAGGCTCTGCAACATTTACCACCCATTTTTTATATAACATCTCTTTTCTTCTTTCCTTAAAAGTATCCAGATGCTGAAAATATTTATCCAATCTCTAATGAAGTGATACAAACAAGGAAAATAAATTATTAAGAAATTTTTCATGGGGGGGGAAGAGGGGCAAGAGCAACATACATAACCTAAACATCTGTACCCCCATAATACGCTGAAATTAAAAATAATAATAAAATAAGGTATAACAACTAAAAAAAAAAAATTTTTCATTTATTGTCATTTAAATAAGGAAGAAAAAACACTTGTCCCCATTCATAAGCTCTCAGCCACATTTAGGTTACAAAGTCCTGGTATGAGATAGTTGAAGCACAGAATAAAGTTCAGTGGGAGAACCTGAGACCACAGAGCAGGAAGAACTCAAAGTTCTAAACCACGACTATGTCTTCATATTAAACTGCACCTAACTCATGAATCAGACTAAACCATTCCTAACTCACGAAATCCTTGCTTCTTTTTAAGGGTTTCATAGCATTCCTTGGTCACTCAGTCCACATCTAGCTTTCACTGTCAGGAAAGTCTGTGACAAAATTGGTAGAGTAGAAAGTGCACTAGACTTGCTTTGACACCTCTCTCTGATCTGTAAAAGGTTAATCCCACCTACCTCTTTGGACGCTCAAATGGGAATATATGTACACTTCTGTCATAAATTGTAAATACAAATGTCAAAGTACTGTAACACCTTGCTTCTCATTGAAATTAAACCCCTCTTAAGCTTATTGATTCCATAGTGACTATCAGTTACTGCTTGGTCATTAACCTTAGATACTAATTCATTTCTGGTGGTTTTATATATCCTCACTGCAATGTGGGAACATAGGAGAACGAGAGGCAAGTTTTAGTAGTAAAGAATTTCTATTCAGAACCAGGACAAAGGGGAGCAGTTAGAACAATTTCCCAGATCCCTTCAGGACAGATCCAAGTAGGCCTAAGGACTTCTTGGTGATCCTGCAGGAGGTGGCACAATCTCAGATCTACACAGTGTTCTACAAACAAGCACTCATTTTGCAGAGCAGCTTCATTGTCCCTGCAAAATGAGGCTCCTTGACATGGTGACATCACTCTTGTTCCCGTAGAACACCCTTAGAACACACAGTCTATAGCCAATTCTTACCTTCACGACATAATTTTCTCTAAATAATATTGCATGTACAGCTTCATCAATGTTTTCTCTAGCCAATACCTAAAATTACAGAATTGAATATTAGGATATAAATCCTGAAGAAACAAACTAGAATGACAAAACTCAGTGTATTTTACCAATAATTTTAGTGTAAATCTAATGGCTGTATCTTAAAGTATATTTTGTAAGTTTTCATTATGGAAAATTTCAAAAACTACTCTCCATGAACCCCTCACCCATGTTCTACAATTATCAACTCAGAGTCAATCTTATTTCATCTAAATCCCGACCATTGTTCAGCCTTCTACCCAGACAAAACCCCTGACGTCATATCATTAAATCCTATTTTTTAAAGTACAAGGCAGCTTACTAATTAAAGGGATTCTGTATAAAATGAATCCTCTTTTCATTCATACATTCATTCATTCACTAGGAATGTTTTAAAGGGCCCTTGAAGTTTCCTGCCTTCTGCTAGGTCTCTTCATAAGTCAAAACTACAGAAAGTTTGATTTAGTTCAACCAGTCCAGAGTCTCAGAGCTAGTTAGTGTTAACTCCTGGTCTCCTACAGATATTGTCTCACATATGGGGACTTACTGTTTCCATTAAGAGTTTGGGTCAAGCTGATGCACTTAAATCCCCACCTTACGGCTTTTTCAGTTAGAACGCTATGAACTGATCTACAGCTTTTGTTCTTACAGGACTAAGTAGGAACAAATGAAAAGGCAATAAAATTCCAGGATCTGGAAGAGATATACTGTTACCTAAAAAAATTGTCTCTAGTGAAAAATGACACAGGTTCTTAGAACTATGTTATTTATTCTATCTCTGGCTCTTCTTTCTGTTCTGCCACACTGAATGCATCAAGACAAATTAAACTCCAAACTCAAATGCCAAATCTGTGAAAGAGAAATCTCAACAAGAAGAGTTGCGTTTTTACCCATATATTTAATAGCTTCACATGAAATCTAAAATGATACTCAAACAGCTACTCAGGTCTTTCCCAAAACAAAACTCTCTTTCTAATATAAACAAAATCTTGCTTTAAAAACCTTCTCAGACTTATTTTAAGATGGCAACTGAAAAAGTATGTAAAACAATTAAACATGTTTCCTGATTCTATGATATAATTTTAGAATCAATCTATTTATTTGAAGAGATAGAAAACATACATGTTTGCAAGCATCTTGGGAAATCTTTTTTTTTTTTTTTTTTTACACATTCTAGTAAGATTGTTAGCAAATGTTATAAACACTCGGTGTACTGTGTCAGATTCTCAAACAATCTTTTTTTGTTTAAATAGTTTCTGTCTTTGATGGCTCCTTCTTCCTAATTATGCCAGAAAAAAATATAAGGAAGACGTTATGATTTGTACCAGCTCTCTGAAATCCACCGCTTTCTGTGCACATACATAACAAAAATTGTCTCACTACTCTGCCACCACGACAAAAGGGGCAAAATAAAGGAAATTTCCAAGAGTTTTTTTGTTTGTTTGTTTACAGCGAGGCAAATCATAGGATCATACAAAACAACGAAATTTTCTTTATGAGAAAATCACTCCCAGACGCTGAAGTGTAAGAACTAACTGGCTTGTCCCGCAGGGCGAGCTGGGGTCCCTGCTTTCACCCGCTCGCCCGTCCTCAGGCTGGCGACAAGGAACACTCTGGGCCAAATCTGATTGCGGCCGGCCGCTCCCACTCAACGGATTCTTTCTCCCGCTTACTAGGGACGGCGAACCTGCGGCCTTCTGATTTCAAAATTGTTCTTTTTTAAGCACCAAAGAAGGCAAGAAAAGCTTCATCTTTCTCTGCTGCATCCGTTTTAATAGAAGGATTTGTTCTGTAAAATTTGGATTCAGTCAAAAGGCTGCACTTAAGGACCTAAGGCCGCAGCTTCCCCACCCATTCTGGGAATACACGCGTGATTAAGGGAAAATATTAATAGTTGCTAAACTCAAGGATTATGCCCCATCGCCAATACGACGTCGCAAAGTGCCACGTTATTTTACCTCCATTAAAGAAATTGACTCGGGCTCTGGCCATTCTTTTAATTTTTCTGGCCGGAAGTGTCCATCATAGTTCGCAGTTTTCGTGGCGGCCATAGGTAGCAGAAGCCTGAGGGGAGAAAGTGAACTGAGGAGACTTGGTCGGACGGTTACCCTCGAGACCGCGGGGCCTTGGGGCTCAAAGGGCGGTCTGAACCCTCGCCCGGCCCTTCCTAGCGCAGGTGAGTCAGACCACGAAGCCAGGACTCTCCAGAGGGGTGGTTGCCGCCCCCCCCCCCGCCCCCGAGCTGCCGCGCCCGCGTCGCCGGGGGCCGGGGGTGGAACGCGGCCCGCCTGGACGCGCCGGCCTCGCCTCAGCCCGGGTCACCGCCCTCACGGGGCGAGGTCGCCGCCCGGGCCCCCCCTGATCGAGGGGCTGCCGCCGGGCCAGCTGCGGGATGGTCGCAGGCGCGCGCTCCGCCCCGGCTCGGCTTGGGCTGCGCCGCGGCCGCGTCTCGGTACAGCGCTCAGGGCCCGAGCGTCAGGCGGGTGCGGGACGCGAGGCCGCGCGGTCTCAGGGGCCGCCGAGAGCCGCGGGGTGCGGGCCACGCCACCGCGACGCCAGCGGGACGGTCCCGGGAATGGGAAGGGAACAATTTTGTTTCACAGCAAATTAAAACGCCGCGTTTAAGCCGAGCCCCTGTAACCTCGACCGTCACTAGGCGTCTCCCGCCCGGCCGCAGGCGGCGCGCTCGGCGGCGCTGCTCGTTCCCCCGGGCCCAGGCCGGCGTTCGGGCCTGCAACCGCCCGATTCTCCGCCACCCTCCGTTTGGACTTTTTAAACGTATGGAGGGCACGTACACCAATACGAATGAGAATTTACCGTTTGCTCGTAAGGTTGAGGGCTAGAACTTAAAAGAGGAATGATTTTGAGCGAAGTATCTGGCTACTTATTGATGCTTCCCATTGGATGATATAGTTGCAACAGATGGATCGTGTTAGATTCTGATTTGAAGAATCAAACTATTAAAAACATTTGAGACAATAAGGAAAATATGAAACACTATCTAAATATTTAATGATATCTAGGAATTACTGTTAATATTTTAAGGTATGATAATGGATTGTGGTGTCTTTGCAAAGGAGATACATACTGAAATATTAATGTATAAAAATGACACATTTGAGATGTGCTTCGAAGTAATTCAGTAGGTGGCAGGTGAGGACTGGGCAGGATTATGGATTAAACAAGATCGAGGTTCCTATACTTCTCTACTTTGTATGTGATGGAAATTTTCCATAATAAAAAGTTTCTTTACAAACTCACTCAATAATTAACCCCAGCCTTTCCTTCCTGAGGCAAAGTAGACTCAATAGTGCGAACAATTTTGTTTATCTGTTTAAATTCAAATTTCTTAGTAGAGACAAGAGGGGAATTGATTAAATATTTTCAAAGGAGACAAAACTGACTGGTAGGGGGAAAGCACGTAGGACTCGTAGGACTCAAGGCAGGATTTGAACTGCTTCTGTGCAGTAATGGGACAAATGTGGGACCTCTAGCAACCTCTTCTCAACTTGAAAAAGATACCTGCCTAATACAACCTATAGTTTCCCAAGCAACTTTATTTGCATATTTAGTTGATTCGATCAACAGTTAATGAAGATGTGCAAGCTAATAAATGAGCATTTATTATATTCTACTAATCCAACAAACCTGAGGAACATTTGTTGCTCAGGTTGAGGTTAAGCAACTTGCCCAAAGTTACCAGGCAATTAATTGCCAAAATTTAAATGCAGGTCTTTCTAACTCAAACGTATGCAGTCTTTACCCTATGCTGTGGTGCCTAGTCACGAACTAAATATATTTTTGTTAATGTTCTATTAGTCCTCCATTACTTAAACAGCTTTAAATATCATTTGTAAAAACTGAAGAAATCATTGTATTTATATTACTCCTGTCTTCTCTTTCCCTCTCAATTTGTGTTAGTATTCACAACACTTAAATTCTGTCTCATGACCTTTGTTTCAGTCTGTCTTACAGTTAATAGATTCAATGTGCACTGTCAGTTCTTTTGCTATTAATAATATTCCTTTAGTTCTTGCATATTTAAATGTCTCTTGCCTCTATACTATGAAAATTGTCAAAATCAAAATGGAATCACTAATGTTAAGAAAACTCTGACAGCTGGGTGGGGTGGCTCACTCCTTTAGTCCCAGCTACTCAGGAGGCTGAGGTGGGAGGATCGCTTGAACCCAGGGGTCGAGGCTGCAGTGAGCTATGATCAAGACACAGCACTCCAGCCTGGTGACAGAGCAAGACCCTGTCTCTTAAAAAAAAAAAAAAATCTAGTTTTCACCTGGAACCATGTGTTGATTGGGGGTGAGAGACTGGGAGACTGGATAAATGTCATGGTAGAATAATGTAAAAGGATGATAAATATGGAATGAGAGAGAAAAATGGTTAACTTAAAGCAGGAAAATAAAAAGCTCAGATGCCAGAATGCTGGAGTCAAGGCATAAAAACACCATTTTTAATAAATCCCATTCTGTCTGTAGCCCTCAAGTACATAAACTGATCTTTTTTTGTTGGGTTTTTTTTTGGGGGGGGACAAGGTCTTTCTCTGCTGCCCAGGCTGCAGCGCAATGGGGCAGTCATAGCTCACTGTGGCCTCAAACTCCTGGGCTCAAGCGATCCTCCTGTCTCAGCCTCCCAAGCAGCTGGAACTGCAGGTGCATGCCACCATACCTGGCTAATTTTTCTTATTTTTTGTAGAGATGGGGTCTTGCTATGTTGCTCAGGCTGGTCGCAAACTCCTGGCCTCATGTCATCCTCTGCCTTGGACTCCCGAAGTGCTGGAATTATAGGTGTGAGCCCAGGCACCAGCCCATAAGTTGATCTTGTAAGTCACTGAATTGAAAGTCCAGTTGGATTAACAATGCTGCCAGTCTTTTATATGGAAGCTAGAGCATTGACTAGGAAGGAGGGGGCTTTTGGCAATTATATATGTGTGGGGAACAGACAGAACTAAAGAACTCAGACTCCACCAACTCCTTTAAAAAGATTCCGGTGTCCCCTTTGCTTAAGGAAAACACAATTCTGCTCTCCTGTGCTCTATGTCCTACTATGTCTTCCTGTGACCAGGATTCAAACGCAACATGTTTAGAATCAGAATCAGCAAGTGAGTAATCTATACCTAAAATGAGTTTTTAAATTTTCTAAAGAATTTGAAAGTTGGAAGAACCTGGGGAAGATATGTAAGTGTAGATTTTAAGGGTGCATGACCAAAGGGAGCATACCTTCATTTAGGAACAAACCAAATGAATTGAGGTGGGCACTGAGTAAGGTAGCTATAATTATTTTTATTGGATTTATTAGAAATATTTTGTAACTTCTGGGGAAAATACTTTTGCAGTAACTGTCAATACATAGTATCACCATTGCTTAATGATCACAGACATTGAACTTAAAAATAAACTAAAGTTTGTTGCACATGCGTTTCTTAGAGACAGAACAATTCTTGAGTGCCTTCTTTGGTCTTCACCCTGAATGATTCCTCAGATGACTTCCTCCAAAATAGCCTTATTTTGTGTACCCTTTCACCAGTCAAGGATCAGGATGTGTGCTCCTTGGTTGCTAAAACCTTTTGAAGGTGACAAAAGAGAAGAGTTGAGTGTGATACAGGGATGAGGGCATTGCAAGAGCGGAAGGAATTCCGCAGCTAAGCTGAGCTGATCCCCCTGAAGCCTGGTCCTGCCAGAGCCAAGTGACTCATCTCGCAGGGAGGGTATCCCCCTAAAACTCCTGCTTCAACCTTTCCTCTCCCTGTCTGGATGCAGAAACATGTAGAGATTCAGGGACACAGCCAACCTTATTACAGATGGGGTGGATCACTGATGTGTGATATGATTGGAGGAACCCTATATGGTCTGGGCTTTCAGATGTCAATGTGCTCGGAGTACTAATTTACACTAGCATTGTTGTGATTTAGAAAATACTAGATTCCTGTCTTCCTTTGTCTCTAAATCTCCATCCTCCACCTCACTATCGGCTGATGACCTGTTCACTTCATTGAGAGAATGAAAGTAAACAATAGTAAACAATCTTCCTTCACAAAATCCACCGAGCCAGCTTCCGCGTCCGTGTACTCTGCCTCCCCTCCTCGCACAATGATGGGTCGTCCTGCCCTCCACTTGAGTCCTGGAGCCCATCTCTTCACCTCGGGAAGGACAAGGACGCTCCCTTGCTACTTTGGCCCTTCCCTCTCCAGCATCATCAAATGTCCCTCTCTCCTAGAGCACCCCCATACATGTTAAATATTCCAGCATCTGATAAAAACATTGCCTTGTCCCTACCCTCTCCAGCCCCCATCCCTTTTCTCTCTGCTCCCTTCATGGCAGAACTCCACAAAAGGGTTGCTTGTTCTGTCTCCACATCCTCCCCATTCTCTCTTGAACCCACCCTAATCAAGCTTCCATTCCAGCTACTCCACAGTAAATCACCAGTGATGAAAATCACCAATTACTTCTAAATCTCACTAAATATAAAAGATAATTCCCAGTACTCATTTTACTTGTCCTCTTAGCAGCACTGCGACATGGTTGATCCTGCCCTCTTTTCTGAAACCCTTTCTTTACGGGGCTTCTGCAATACCACACTCTCCTGCTTCTCTCCCTGCCTTACTAGTTACTTGCCTCTCTCGTGTTCCTTCACTGGCTCTGCCTCTGTTTCCCAGCCTCTAAATCTGGGAGCTCTGCAGGACTAGCCCTCGGCCCTCTGCTCTGCTGAGACTCACTCCCAGGTGATCTCATGATTTCAAACAGCATCTACAGGCAGATGGCTCTCAAATACCTGTCTACACCCCAGTCTCCCCAAACTCCAGACTAGTACATCCACCCGCCCACTTTACATTTCCTCTTGGGTGTTGAATAGACTTACAATAAGGTACCAAAATGGATCTAATTTTAGTCTCGGTATCTCTTAAGGCAATAGATGCTATGTTCCAACGTGAAGAATGGAGTAGTGGGGTATCTGTCAGATGCTGAGAGCCAAAGGCAACCATAAGCAACCAGCAGGAAAAGACATCAGCAGGGGAGAAAGTCCCAGCAACAGGAATTTTCTCTGAAGATGACTTGCAAGTGTCCCATGAGAAAAACATTAGCTTTAAACCCCTGCCAAGCCTAGAGGGTGCTTCACACTAAAATAGATCATCATAAAATTAGTACGTAAGAACTTCCCTGCCCCTCATTACCTCTCTTTCCTCTCTCCCACTGTTATTCTGAAAAGATCAGAAATCACAGTGGCAAGAAACGAGGATAAGGAATAAAAGAGTGAAATGGGGAGGAGAGAAGACTCCTACCTGCTCTTCGTTCTGGTAGTGCCAGCGTCAGCAGCCCCAGAGCAGAGGGGACCTCACGTGAAGACTGAAGTGCTGGTCATTACACCAGGTTGGACGTGTTAATTACTGAACTGTGACTGTCTATAACCAGAAGACTTTTTATTATCTTAGGGGCAATGAACTACCCCCAACAGAACAGGTTTAAATGTACATTTTAACTCAATTGCTTGAAATGATAGCCAGCAAACTCTCCTGTATTGTAATGGTTATAGGTGTCTCGAATATAACCAGCCCCAAACTGGATATTCCTCACTTTTGCACTTCCCGCCCTCTCAGACAGACTACCCTCGTTCAGTGAATCGGACCCTAATCCACCAGGCCGCTCAGGGCTGATTTCTTGCTTTCACTGGTTCCCATGTGGCCTCTGAGTGAGCGGCAGCTCATTCACTGTCACCTGCCCATGACCACCACTGGCTCCAGCTGTTTCGCTCTCACCTGGCCTCCCTGCTTCTGCTCTTGCCCCTGTGTCTTCAGTTCTCCGTGCAGCAGCCTTCTTCTTCTTTATAAAATGTTAATTAGATCATATTTCTCCCCTGCTCAAAACCTTTGAGTGGCTTCACCTCACACTGTGGATTTTATTCTAACTCTTCAACATGGCCTCTAAGCCCCACGCCTGCCTCTCCTCAGCTTGCCTCCTGCCTTTCTCTCCACACTCACCTCACCCGCTCTTTCCTGCTGTTTCCTGAACATGCCAACCTTCGCCTGCGCCAGCCCACCCGCCCGGACCCTTCCCCAGGGCTCTCTGTGTCTCGCTCCCTCAGGCTGCTGCACAAAGGTCCTCTCCTCAGAGAAGCTTTCTCTGACTTTTCCCTCATCCATCCCCCACCCTCCTGCCCCCTTTACCTGTTTTACTTTCCTCACTGCACTGATTACTAACTCACCTGATGTTAAATGTTTATTTGGTTGGTTATTGTCTGTCTCCCCCATCAAAATGTAAGCTCCACAAAATGAGAGATCTATCCGTTTTGTTTCCCACTGTGTCTCCAGACCCCTCCCACACTGCCTGCTCAGAGTTGGCACTTGTTAACAGTTTGAGGAAGAAAGCAAGCAAGCACATGGGAGGATGCCAAAACTTGACAGTAAAAGGAGTTAAAACACAAAATAATGTTTTAATAAATTTTCATGAGTGAGTGAAACAAGTAGCTCCCTTATCCTCCAGGGTAGGAGTGGGGAAATGGAGAGACAGGAAGGAAGATGGGAAGATTGACGGTACACTCAGAAGACAGGCTGCTCACATACTGATTTCTAACTTTGGGGGTGGGGGCTGTGACTTCTCTCATCCGCTCCTAAGAGAGGATGACTCCGGAGTGTTGGGACTTAGGGGGTGGAAAAGAGAACTGAAGGGAAGCCCCACCTAGACCTGGAAGCAGTAGGCTGGGCTGGATCAGTCAAATGGCCACCAAGTTTAACTGTAGTTACCTTAGGGTGAGAAATCTATGCTCTGTAAACACCTATATTTCTATAAATCTTACATTTTAAACTTAGGGGCTTTATTTCTTCATTTATTGTACATTTTCTTTTCTTTTTTTTTTTTTTTGAGACAGAGTCTCACTATGTTGCCCGGGCTAGAGTGCTGTGGCGTCAGCCTAGCTCACAGCAACCTCAAACTCCTGGGCTCAAGCGATCCTCCTGCCTCAGCCTCCCGAGTAGCTGGGACTACAGGCATGCACCACCATGCCCAGCTAATTTTTTGTATATATTTTTAGTTGTCCAACTAATTTCTTTCTATTTTTAGTAGAGACGGGGTCTCGCTCTTGCTCAGGCTGGCTTCGAACTCCTGAGCTCAAACAATCCTCCCACCTTGGCCTCCCAGAGTGCTAGGATTACAGGCGTGAGCCACCACGCCCGAACTGCACATTTTATTTTCATTACACTGGGTTAGGAGAGGAAAGAGTCATGCACCAGTGTATACAACTGTGCTATTCAATTGTTTTTCAGCCCGAATCGGAATCCAGATTCTAATTGTCTTTAAGTTCAGGATCCAGATCAGAGTCAGAAAACGTCAACGCTGCTGCTGGGGGTAGGGGGAGGGGGCTGCTGGGACAATGTCAGGAAACAGGCATGGAGCTGACCCTGGAGGGTTCCTGTTCCAGGGCTCCCGTCTGGGTACCTGAGGACCCTTCATGTTGGTCAGGGGTCATGTTGGTCAGGGGTGGGAGGCTGACAGCAGAGCCTCAGAGCAGATGGGGATGGCACAGACCTGGGGCTGCTACTCAGGAGCTGGAAGGACAACCACATCTGTACAGAGAAGACCTGAAAAGACACTGTCCTTTTACGGTATCCCAGAATCCTGTATAGGGCCTCTCCATGAGGACAGGGCCACAGCCAGCTCCTTGGCCTCTGGCTGGCCCCGTGAGTCCAGCATGAGTCCAGCCACCATGCCATCTGGAGACACTGGGGCGGCCCTTTTTTCTGCCCCTCTGCTTGAGACGCTTGGCAATTGCTTTAAACCATTCATGATTATTCTTCTTCAACCCTTCAAATTCAAGCAATTCCCATTCTTTTAGAAAAACCTAGACCTCCTGGTTACTCCAAGTTTTAATTAACTGGTCTGAGGGTTTTTCTGTTTCCTTGGTTTCATTTTCCTCCTTAACTTCCTGGGGGCTTCTAGTACTTTCAGTCTGAAGTCTCACTTTCTCCATTTTTATTCCTGAGCTTTCTTCTGGGATTCTTTTCACTTCAGCCACAGGGCGTAACCCAGGGTTGCAGAAAAGCGGCACTTGCTCTGCCCTAAGGGGATCTGGGAGAGTCGGAAGGTGCTGATTGTGAAAATGTGTTTGCCTCTCTCTGCTTCTTGCAGTCTCTCAATTTTGGAACTTTTACTTCTTAAATTTTACTACTTTAATTAAGTATTGGTCCTTTTGAAAATTTTCTACCTATCTGAACTGCATTAAGAGGAACAGAACTTTGGGCCTGGCCTTGGTATGCTAACTGGTAAATCTTAGACAGATGGGAGAGATGGCAGAAAGATAAAAGGGTGAAAAAACAGGAGCCAGGGAAGTCCTGGACAGTACAGTCCACCCCCCAGAGAGCACCTCTGCTGCACAGCTCCACCGAGCGGCCAGGGGTCAGTCTGCATTCCCTTGGAATAAAGGACACCTACCTCTCAGTTTCTTCTACACTATCCTCCACCTTTTACTGGGAGGTAGGGGTGGGGGGGTCCACTGCCTCCTCTCCTTTTGGAAGCCTGCCTGACAGAGAAGTTCCCCGTTGCTCAGATTTTGCTATCAGCGATCGCTGCCTTGTATGTTACGAAATGGGACTGCCCCAGCCCTTACCACATCCTGATCTTCATCCCATTCTGCCTCTTGGCTGAGGTTCAAGGAAGAAAAGTACCCTTCACAGTTGGCCTCCTTGGGACTTGGATTCTTTCCCTCCTGATAACATAGAGGTTCTTTTTCCAGAAAGGATGACCCTATGTTTCTGTAGGGAGAAATCGGAAAGGAAGGAATTCTCTTAACTTTCAACTCAATTGTAGCATTTAATGTTTTTATTTAAGTTTGAAGTCAATAAGTTCTATAAGAATTTACATATTTTTATGAAAAAGAAACCCAAATAAATAGTATTACCTTGTTCTAGTAATAGTTTCATCTGTAATCTCTTTGCTGCTTAATCAAACAGCTGGGTGAGGGTCCTTTGGAGTGAATGAGCTCTTCCCAGATTTGTCCATTTTGCCTTCCTTGGGGAAGTCTAACTCTGCCAAAGACAAACATGCCTTCTCCACCCCTGCTGCCATAAGGGGATGCTTCCCTAATTCATGGAAGAGAATCCAATCTTCCTCTTTCCTCTTCCAGAAGGAGCTCATAGACTTAAGCCTCTAGTCTAAAATATAAGCCCCTAGCTACTCCAGCAATGCAATACTCTCCTTCGTATCTGGGTCACACTCTGCTAGTAGAGGTATTTGAGAACAAAATCCCTCCTTTATGGCATTTATAGAAATTAGATAGGATTAAGATGTTGATTATCCTAAAATCTTATCCAAGCAGGTCTGTTTGAGACCGTGGCAGTTAGGAATTGTAGAGGAGCTTACTCCTTTGAGTTCTTGCATACAAAAGTGATTCTGAATCATTCTCTTTTGAGGCCTTCGGCTGCAAAGTAAATAGGGCTTAGTTTCAATGTTTCCTTCTCCCTCAATTTCAGCTCCTATTCAAGAGACAAGCAGCAAACTTATACCACGCCTCACCTCCAGGACACTGAGAAGTCCACATGGCCAGCTCCATCTCTAACAGTCACAGTTTCTACTTTAAATCACCAAGATCCTCATGAGGCAATGAGTCGTTCTCTCTGCTGGACATGCCAGCGTCAAGCATCTGTAAAAGCCCCCCAGCTTCTGCCACACTGTATTTATTCATTAAATTCTAACCCTATTCAGGAAAAGGAAGGGAAACTACTGCAGCTTACTTGGGGCACATTTTTTTTTTTAATATTGTTGTAGAGACAGGGCCTCACTATGTTGGCCAGGCTGATCTCAAACTCCTGGCTTCAAGTGATCCTTCCACCTCGGCTTCCCAAAGTGCTGAGATTACAGGCGTGAGCCACCGCGTCTGACCCCAGCAGTTATTAGAAACAGAAAATTGGAGGTCAGCCTCCTATAAAATGTCACATAAGCTCATTTTTCTTCCACTTTGCTACGTTCTTTTTTTATTATTATCAACAGCTTTACTGAGATATTATTTACATGCCATAAAATTCACCCATTTTAAGTGTACAAGTCAATGGTTTTTGATATACTTACAGAGTTGTATAACTACATCACTACAACCTAATTTTAGAACGTTTCTATCAACCCCAAAACCTCATGCTCATTAACAGTCACTTCCCATTTCCATCCCCAGCCCTTGAACCACTATCTACCTTCTGTCTCTATAGACTGGCCTTTTCTGGACATGTCATATAAAAAGAATCATATAATATGTAGTCTTTTGTGACTGGCTTCCTTCACTGGGTAATAGTTTTGAAGTTCATCCATGTTGTAGCATCTATCAGTGCTTATTTCCTTTTAATTGCCAAGTAATATTCTTGGATATAGCACATTTTGTTTATCCTTAAGTCAGCTGATAAACATTTGGGTCCTTTCTACTTTTGGGCTATTGTGAATGCTGCTGCTATGAATGTGCATGTACTAGCCTTTGTATGGATGTGTATTTTCATTACTCCTGAGTAGAAACATAGGAGTTGAATTTCTGGGTCACTTGGTAACTTAATGTTTAACAGTTTGAGAAACTGCCAAAGGGTTTTCCGAAGTTGCTGCACCATTTTACATTCTCTCCAGTGATGTCTGAGGGATCACGTTACTTTTAATCAGATAGTTACAAGTTATGTAGTTATGTAGAGAAATCTCTTACTTTTAATTCCATAACTAGTTAATTGAGGTGATTCTCCATTTACATGCAGAGCAGTATGTACCACTTCTCTGCTTATAACATCTGGGTACGATAGTGTAACAGCCACTACACACCAAAACTAGCTCCAAACTCCATTTATACTGCTCCGATTCAATTAAAACTCTCCTAACCTTTAATTTTAGTGCCAATTAACAATTATTTTCCCTTTCTGTGCATGTTATTTCTGAGTGTGTTAGCTATTTGCTCTTTAAAACCAGAAAAGCCTGAGAGTTGCTGCCTCACACAGACCCAGTGGTGGGAAACGCCAGATCTCGTGCCGCAGTGGAGCCTGGTGCCGGCCCAGCACTGACGCCAGCAGGCTGAAAGGAAGGCAGGGGATGGCAACACAGCCACGCACCTCAAATGAAAGAAGAGCAAAGCTGTGGAGTAACAGGCTTACTTGTAAGTAACGGCTGTTTCTTCTTCCTGGGATTCCAGAAGATGAGGAGCTCTTGCCAAGCATTTCAAATCAAAACTAGTATTGTTAAAATTCACTTTCACTTTTAACCTTTAACAAGATAACATGTGTGAGGATGTTGTGAAAACAACATTAGTTTACATTTATACAGAAATTGTTATATACTGACTGCTATATAGAGAGTCCAAAATAACATCATTACTTCAAACTGGTGTACATTCTTAGATGAGATTAGTTTTTTGTTTTGTTTTGTTTTGTTTTTGAGACAGAGTCTTACCCTGTTGCCCAGACTGGAGTGCAGTGGCAGTGGCCTGCCAGATCACAGCTCACTGCAACCTCCAACTCCTAGGTTCAAGCAGTCCTCTTGCCTTGGCCTCCCAAAGTGCTGGGATTACAGACATGAGCCACCACACCTGGCTAAAATAGTTTTTGTCTATCTTTTCACTTACCTTCTGTCCTATCCTATATCCAAACTGACTTACACATCACTTGTCAGATTAAAGTTTCTAAAAACACCATTTCCCGCATCTCACTCCCCCCTCAACTACACTCCCCGACTCCCCATTCCCTGCATGATAAACTCCCAGTTCTTTATCAGGCATTGAAGGCTCCTCACAAAATAGCTCCAGCCTAGATTCAGAGACTTGAATCAATGACTGGCTGTCCATCCATTCATTACACAGACAAGCAAATAGTTGCGAACTGTGTGACAAGTGAAGAAGTACATGTATGTTCAGTGGTGGACAGAAGAGGGACTAATCCATACTGCCTTGCAGAAGGAGACAGTTTGGAAAGACTTCAGAGAGGAAGTCTTAAAGTGGAATTTAATAGAGTCTTGGAAACAGACTTTTGCTCAATAAAAAGACAGGAGGCGGACAGTCCAGCAAGAGAGCCCAGCATGTGCAAAGGCACAGACGTGATACGAAGAATACTATTCATTCAGGTAATTGTGCGGGACCTAGTATTGTTGGAGTACAGAGTATTAGGGAAGGAAAAGTCAACCCAACCTTCTATGTCATACCAAAGAGAATAGTTTTTAACTGAGGGCCATGGGAACCACTGAAGAGAATTAAGTTGGAAAATAACATGGCACACTACATAAGTTCACCCCGCTAGCACCATACAACATGAGAGAAAGTATGGTGCTGTGTTTAGAATGTGGGCTGTGGAGTCAGAGATCTGAGTTCAGTTTCTGACTCTCCCACTTTATGGCTATAAATAAGTGGCTTTCAACCTGTTGTACACTGGAATCATCTGAGGATTTTTTTTTCTTTTTGAGACAGAGTCTCGCTCTGTCATCCCGGCTGGAGTATAGTGGTGCAATCATTGCTCACTGCAGACGTGAACTCCTAGGCTCAAGCTGTCCTCCCACCTCAGCCTCCTGAGTAGCTAAGGGAGTGGTGCCTAGCCACATCCAGCCAATTTCAGTTTCACTTGAGGATTTTTAAAAAATGCTGATGTCTAGGTCCCACCCCTAGAGATTCTGATTCATTTGTCTAGGGTGTGGCCTGGGTATCAGGATTTTTTTTGAACTCCCCAGGATATTCTAAGATAAAACCAAAGTGGAAACATACTGCTGTAAAATTGACAAGGTACTTAAGTTATCTGTATAATAGTAACTACTTATACCAAATAAAGTTTTTATGAAGATGAAACAAATTAACATATGTTAAAATGCTTATAACAGTACCTGACACATAGGAGCTCAATAAATTATAATTGTTATCATAGATTAAAGATGAAAATGGGAATTTAGTTTATGGGAATGTTAAGGAAGGGGGAGGGCCAGGCACGGTGGCTCACGCCTGTAATCCTAGCACTCTGGGAGACCAAGATGGGAGGATTGCTTGAGCTCAGGAGTTTGAGACCAGCCTGAGCAAGAGAGAGACCCTGTCTCTACTAAAAATAGAAAAATTAGCCGGGTGTCATGGTGCACACCTGTAGTCCCAGCTACTCAGGAGGCCGAGGCAGGAGAATCACTTGAGCTCAGGTGTTTGAGGTTGCTGTGAGCTATGATGACACCACTGCACACTAGCCTCGGTGACAGAGCGAGACTCTGTCTCAAAAAAACAGAATGAAGGGGAACATTAGATGGAGATTTAGGAGTGAACATGACAGAGCCTACTGCTGGATTAGATAAAGGGATAATGAGAGAAAAAGAAGAACGCTGTCCTATAACTAGAAACACAAAAGCAGCATGTTTAGATGCGTATGATAACTAGGCATGACTGGCTCACTTTTGGATAAATTGAGTCATATGTGGAACATAAGAATTGAATATTTGTGACTGGAATATATAGAAGGCACAGTCATCTCACTCTAGTCTCTTCTGGTTCATGAAGATTTTCCAGAACTGTCTTAGTGGTTAAGCACTGAGCTCCTTCCCACTCTCAGACTCCTACCCCACCAGCACCTTCTGCATAAGAGTGTGGTGACATGGACCCCAAGGTTCAGTCTGGAGACTGAAAAGTGGCATCACAATTATTTTCAAAATTTGAAAAACATGCTAGCGAGAGAGAAGCAGTGTCTCTATGATTAAGAATATGAGAATGGTCTTTAAAGACACCTGGCATACACTTGCTTAGTGTGCAAAGACTAAGATTCAGTACAAGGGCTCATTTAAGAAGCCAGTCACCCCGAAACACACCAGCCTCCATGAGGCTAGAGCAGTATGGGTCATAGAGAAGAATCCAACAATCATCCAAAGACAAAATGTTCCTTACCACATTAGTCACACCAGCACTTTAGAAGAGTGAAAACAAACACTGTGGTTGGAACTCACTGTTTGACCATTAATAGCTCACTATAAAATCAATATTCTAAATACCATCATCTTCATATACAATCAGAGTTAAACCTATTATAAATAGAGTCCTGGTTTGGGTGGACCTGAACTATTACTAGAGCTAGGATCATGATGCTCAAAGTAGACAAAGAAGAACAAAAGTAACAGTCATTCTTTCGGAATTCTGTCTTATGTAAAATTTACAGTGCCATTTGTAGCCAATTTTTTAAAAATAAGAAATGAAATTATTTTAGTTCTGATTCCATTTAGGATATAGAAAGCTTCAAATAATGTTCTCACCCCAAGGCAAGAAAAGGCCAAATAATCTACAAAAACATAACTTTTATTGAGCTTATCAGATCTCAAGGCAAACAACTAAACTGAATTCCAAAAGAAGGTAAATCCTTCCCAGGAGAGGCAGAACACAAAAACTGCTTCATTTTGGTAGAGCATAAAGAGGTAGCTTCTTTAGAAGCAGGTACAACAAGAAAAAAATTGATAATATGGACTTCATTAAAATTAAAAACAAGCTCTGCAAAAGACACTGTTAAGAGAATGAAAAGACAAGCCATGGACTGGGAGAAAATATTTGTAAAATATATACCTGATAAGGTACTTGTATCTTAAATATATAAAGAACTTTTAAAATTCAACAAAAAAAATAACCCAATTTAATTTTTCTTTTCTTTTTTTTTTTTTTT